TCTTGAGTAGTTGGGACCACAGGTGTGTGACCATGCCCATCTCTTTTTTAAAAAAGTTTTTGGAGGCTGGGTGTGGTGGCTCACACCTGTAATCCAAGCACTTTGGAGGACAAGGTGGGTGGATCACCTGAGGTTGGGAGTTCAAGACTAGCCTGACCAACATGGTGAAACCCCGTCTTTAAAAAATTTTCTTTTAATTAAAAAATAGGCTGGGCACTGTGGCTCATGCCTATAATCCCAGCACTTTGGGAGGCGGAGGTGGGTGGATCATGAGGTCAAGAGATCGAGATCATTGTGGTCAACAAGCTGAAACCCCGTCTCTACTAATAATACAAAAATTAGCTGGGCATGGTGGTGCGTGCCTGTAGTCCCAGCTACTCGGGAGGCTGAGGCAGGAGAACTGCTTGAACCCAGAAGGCGGAGGCTGCGGTGAGCTGAGACCATGCCATTGCACTCTAGTCTAGGTAACAACAGCGAAACTCTGTCTCAAAAAAAAAAAATTAAAAAGTAGAAAAGTTTTTGGGCCAAGCATGGAGGCTCATACTTGTAATCCCAGCACTTTGGGAGGACGAAGCAGTTGGATCACCTGAGGTCAGAAGTTTGAGACCAGCCTGGCCAACATGGTGAAACCCTGTATCTACTAAAAATACAATTAGCTGGGCATGGTGGCACCCACCTGTGGTCCTAGCTACTTGGGAGGCTGAGGGAGGAGAATGGCTTGAACCTGGGAGGTGGAGGTGGCAGTGAGCCAAGATCATGCCATTGCACTCCAGTCTGGGTGACAAGAGCAAAACTCTGTCTCAAAAAAAAAAAAAAAAGATTATGGCCAGGTGCTATGGCTCACACCTGGTAATCGCAACACTTTGGGAGGCCCAGGTGGGCAGATCACCTGAAGTCAGGAGTTTGAAACCAGCCTGGCCAACATGGTAAAACCCTGTCTCTACTAAAAATGCAAAAATTACAGGTGGACACCTGTAATTCCAGCTACTCAGGAGGCTGATGCACAAGAATCACTTGACCCTGCGAGGTGGAGGTTGCAATGAGCTGAGATCGTGCCACTGCACTCTGGCCTGGGTGGCAGAGTGAGACTCCATCTTGGAAAATAAAAACAAAACAAAAAAAATAAAAATTAATCAGGCATGGTGACGCAGGCCTGTAATCCCAGCAACTTGGGAGGCTGAGGCAGGAGAATCACTTGAACCAGGTAAGTGGAGGTTGCAGTGAGCTGAGATCACACCACTGCACTCCAGCCTGGGCGACAGAACGAGACTCTAGCCCGAAAAGTAAATAAATAAAATAAAAATAAAAATTTTTTGTAGAGATGGGGTCTGACTCTGTTTACCAGGCTGGTCTCCAATTCCTGGACTCATTAGATCCTCCTGCTTCGGCCTCCCAGAGTGCTGGGATTACAGGTGTCAGCCACCCCCCAACCCCCAACAATGAAAGCCTTTTATATTAGTGGTTTTACTGCCATATAGACTTAATGAACCAAATGAAAACTGAATCTCCACTCCACAGTCTTTATTTCTAGACAAGATAAAATATACTCATTATTATTATTGAAACAGAGTCTCACTCTGTCTCCCAGGCTGGAGTGCAGTGGCACGATCTTGGCTCACTGCAACCTCCACCTCCTGGCTTCAAGCAATTCTCCTGCCTCAGCCTCTGGAGTAGCTGGGACTACAGGCGTGTGCCACCATGCCCAACTAATTTTTCTATTTTTTTAGTAGAGACAGGGTTTTGCCATATTGGCCAGGCTGGTCTCAAACTCCTGACCTCATGATCCACTCACCTTGGCCTCCCAGTGCTGGGATTACATGGGTGAGCCACCAAGGTTTAGAATACATGGAAGTATAGATATTGCTTTCTTGTGCAGACGTTTCTTTCTTCTTTTTCTTTTTTTTGACATGGGGTCTCACTCTGTTGCCCAGGCTGGAGTGCAGTAGTGTGAGCTTGACTCACTGTAATCTCCACCTCTTGGGTTCAAGTGATTCTCCTGCCTCAGCCTCCCAAGTAGCTGGGACTACAGGTACCTGCAACCACAACCAGCTAATTTTTGTACTTTCAGTAGAGACAGGGCTTCACCATATTGGCCAGGCTGGTCTCGAACTCCTGACCTTGTGATCCGCTCCCCTCAGCCTGCCAAAGTGCTGGGATTACAGGTGTGAGCTGCCATGCCCAGCAGATGTTTCTTGACAGTAGAAATACAGAAGAGATAGCAAGACCATGAGGAGACTGGCAGTTGACTGCAGGGCACTGCCAACTCCCTTGGTGGTAGCATTAGCTGGTTTTGGGGCAAAGTACCTTGGAAGTAGTTACTTGAAAGCATCACAATAGTTTGATTTGAATAAATCTTCGTGAGTAGGAGCCATGCCAGAAGCAGCAGCTCTACCCTGAGCCTGTCCACTATTGTTCTGTCCCCTCCATTGGTGTCTGGGTTATCTTATTGGATGCTGGGTGAGAACTGCTGGCTCCAGGTGGACACAGGCAAGACCTAGCCTCAGAAATCACATAAAGTGGCTGGGTACTATGGCTCTCATCAGTAATCCTAGCACTTTGGGAGGCCAAGGTGGGAGGATCACTTGAGGCCAGGATTTGGAGATTAGCCTGGTCAACAGAGCAAGGCCTCATCCCTATTTTTTAAAAATTAAAAATAATGTAAAATTATAATAAAAAGGAAATCAAGCCTGGGCAACAGAGCAAGACCTCATCTCTACTAAAAAAAAAAAAAAAAAAAAAATAGCTACGTGTTGTGGTGCACACCTGTGTTCCAGCTGCTGGGGAGGCTGAGCTGGAGGGATTGCTTGAGCCTGGGAAGTGGAGGCTGCAGTGAGCCATGATTGTGTCATGGCACTCCAACCTGGGTGACAGAGCAAAACCCTGTCTCAAAAAAAAAAAAAGAAGGGAAATCACATACATAATGTTACTTAAGCCAGAGTTAGTGCTGAGCCACGATTCTAAGGGAGGTACAAACACCCCACTTCTGAAAGGGAGGAATGTCATAATTACATTGTAGGAAGAGCATATAGGATGGGAGACACTGTCATGGCCGTCTTTGGAGAACGAAATCTGCCAGCCCAGGGAAACTGAGCACAGCTAGAACAAATTTAACAACAATTAATCAATGATTTCAGTCTCATCTGATTCCTTGATACCACCACTGGGCAGTCCTATAACATTTCTCTGCTAAACTTGATTCAATTTGCAATGGTTATTTCAAATCTTCACTGCAGAAGGCACTGTGTATGTCTTTCCTAATACCCATGCCCAATCCCCTTTCTCCCTGTTTATGTCCTTTAGGCAAAGCTAAATACTCACTTTCCTAGCCTCTCTTGAGTCTTTGTGACACAATTCTGTCCAGTGAGATGTAAGCAAAAATTGGCACAGGGACTTCCGGCAAGCTTTTTCCTTGAATAGGAAAATGATGCACGGAGTGGAGGCAGCCAGCCATATATTACAATCCTCAAGAAAATGTCAGTTACAGAAGCATTGGCCCTGATGTCATCGAGCCACTCAACCAATGCTATTGTCTACCTCCAGGCCTTCTCTCCTCTGAGAAAATAAACCCTCCTTTGTTTAAGCCACTGATAGTCAAGCTTTCTGTTGCTTGTAGGGGATATAAGCATTCTTTTCAATCCCCTGCTCCTCTACTTTCTCTCTCTCGCTTTTCTTTCTTTTTTTTGAGACAGAATTTTGCTCTTGTTGCCCAGGCTGGAGTGTAATGGCGTGATCTTGGCTCACTGCAACTTCCGCCTCCCCGGTTCAAGCAATTCTCAAGGCTGGCAGGCAGCCTTCCGAGTAGCTGGGATTACAGGCGTACGCCACCACGCCCAGCGAATATATATATGTATGTATATGTATTTTTAGTACAGACGGGGTTTCACCATGTTGATCAGGCTGGTCTCCAATCCCTGTCCCCGTGATCCACCCGCCTCAGTCTCCCGAAGTATTCGGATTACAGCCGTGAGCCACCGGGCCCGGCTACTTTCTTTCTTTGTAACAGCCTTCAGCTGCTAATTCTCCCTTTCCTGCCACCAACAGCCTACTTAACTACCTACTTACCTGCACCCACAGCCATCTTATTTACTCCTTCTCTCCTGTTATAATGGAAGAGGGCTCCCTACATGGACGGGAGAGTGGGAGTAAATGGAAAGATGCTAATCTGGCATCCATTACAAATTCATCTTTCAGTTTTGGTTTTCTTACCCATCCACACGTTAGTTCTGGGCCTGTACCACTCATCAGCTATGTGCCTTAAACAGGCCATTAAAGTAGCACATATTTATTGAGCAGATTCTAAGCTGTGCCCAAAATGGCACTGCGCTAGGTGGTGGGAGTTGCTAGGGCTAGGAAACATACATAGTCCAAGTGGAGAGAAAATTATTTACAAGACAGGGGAATGGAGCCTTGGAGGAACTGAGCTACGTGACTGGGAGGGCTGAGAATGTGGAAAGGGTTCAGGAGAAGGGGCTAGGAGGTAGGCGTGGGCCACAGCCAGCTGGCTTCTATAACCTAGGGAGGGTAGTGATTTGGGTTTTAATCCTAAATCATTGGGACAGGAAGTGAATTACTGTCTCGGAGCCTCAGTTTCTACCTCGAAAAATACGTTTTAGAACCAACTCCTGTACTAGATTGAGAAATATGGAGAAGGATTTTTAAAATTCATTTCCGCATCATCAGCGCCCGGCACATGGTAGGCGCTTAATCAATGCCTGTTCTGTGAATAAACGAGATTGGGCCTCAACAGATCTCTGTGATTAAGTCAACCATTCAGCAGAGTTTTCCTTCTCCGCGTTCCTTTCCTTCCCTCCCCTTTTCTCGCCCTTCCTCCCTCTTTCCTCCCACGCCCCTTCCCACTCCTCCCCCTCTCATCCTCTCCGGGCTTCCTCCTCCCCTTCCCCGCCCCCATCCTCCCCTTCCCGGCCCCGCCTCCCGCTGCGTCGCGAAGGCGGGGACGGCGAGGCGGGCTTTACGGCAGCCGCGTTGCGGCGGGGCGGGGCGCCGGACCGCCGGCGCGCTTGGCGGCAGTAGTGGGAGGCTGGCTGGCAGGCAGACGGACTCGCAGGCGGGTGGCGGCGGCCGTGCTTGTTAGTGAGGGCGGGAGGGAGTGACTCACTGAGCGTGTGTGAGGGAAGGAGCGAGCGAGCAGCCCGCGCCGTCCTCCCGCAGCACCAGCCAGGCCACACCGCCGCCTCTTCCCCTGCGCCCAGCGCCCAGGCCGGGCCGAGCCGAGCCGGGTCGGGCCCGGGCCATGCTGCTCACCGTGTACTGTGTGCGGAGGGACCTCTCCGAGGTGACCTTTTCCCTCCAGGTCGACGCCGACTTTGAGCTGCACAACTTCCGCGCACTGTGCGAGCTCGAGTCTGGCATCCCCGCAGCCGAGAGCCAGGTACGCCGGGCAGCGAGCGGGGCCTGTCCCGGAGCTAAGCCCTCCCCGCCTCGGGGCCCAACTCCCGCCCTTCGCTAATGGTGAAGAATTGGGGGCTGGGGGGGAGCAGGGATAGCCATTCTCAGCTCACCCCCGCATCCGGGACGGAGCTGGGGAGCTGGCATCGGTAGCTGCCCTCACACGCCCCGAACGTGGGGTGGGGTACGAGGATAGGGAGCGGAGAACCTGACCGCAGACGCACCCACTGCAACGTGAGGGGCGCTTGGACTGTTTAGCAGCCCTAGCCCTCCCTACCTTTGCCTCTTTGGCCCCTTTTCTCTTTCCTATCCCGAATGTGGGATATCGTTGTGGACCTCAGAAACAGCTCTGGGTTTGCTAGGGTTCATACATCCTGCAAACCAGAAATACCAGTTTGGATCACTGTGGTAGATAGATGTTCCTCTGCTTTTTTTTTTTTTTTTTTTTTTTTTTTGTGAGGGTTTCTGCTTAAATATACGCAGCTTGCCTTTAAATACACAGATTTGCACTTCCGGTGAAAGAAAAAAAGTTTTAGACGTGCACTACCTCGTTTTGGGGTCTTTGGAAATGCTCTTTTACCCAGGATATGCGTTTCTGGTTAAATTCTTTTGAAAAACTACCTATTGGTTCAGGTCAAACTGTTTGTTTCTTTCGGTTCTACCCTGGTAGGAAGCCAGAAGGCCCTTTTTCTTTCAGGTCACAGTTCAGAGTTTGGGTCAGTTCAAAGCTCAGTGCTTTAAAAGGATATTTACTTAGAAACGGCCTAGTATCATTGCTGTTCGGTGGTTTCATTTCCCTACTCAGCTTGCTGGAAAGAAGTTCAGCCTCATATTTTTAAGCAAAGTAATTCTTAAAATGCCTTGGGACTGCCACTAGTCTTCATCAGTGGGAGGTGACAACAATGCTGTAACCTTAACACTAAAACATTTAGATTATGACTTGATAAAGTTAGCCTGGAGAACAAAGTCTAAACATTTAAGAAAATTATACAGGTCTCCCAAGGCTCCGTAATGGAAATCTTGATTTTCTACTGCAGTTATGAAATAGTTTCCAAACCGATTGCCCAACTACAGCTTGTTCTGCTGTCTTATGGTAAAGAAAGTGTGATTCCTTTACACAATGTGAACTTTAGAACCTTGGCATAAAGCTATTCAGAAAGAATTTTAAAAGTTCATCCACAAAAGCTTAAGAACCAGTTCCTGTCAGTGAATGCCTCATGTGGAAAACTAGGAAAGGACTGTTTAAATAGAGAGGGGAAATCAACTCTTGATTTTTTTTTTTTTTTTTTTTTTTTTTTTGAGACGGCGTCTTGCTCTGTCGACCAGGTTGGAGTGCAGTGGTGCAATCTCGGCTCACTGTAACCTCCACCTCCGAAGTTCAAGCGATTCTTCTGCCTCAGTCTCCAGAGTATCTGGGACTACAGGCGCGGGACGCCACGCCCAGCTAATTTTTTTTTTTTTTTTTTTTTTTTTTAGTAGAGATGGGTTTCATCAAGTTGGCCAGACTGATCTCAAACTCCTGACCTCAAGTGTTCCTGCCTCGGCCTCCCAAAGTGCAGGGATTACAGGCATGAGCCATTGAGACCGGCCAACTCTTCAATTTTTTGATAGTGGCTTTTTCAATTGTGTGTGTGGTTTTTTTCTCTAGCTGTTATAGTACCCTGGTTATAATCACCTGGTAGGGAAAATAAAAAATTAAAATGTAAATTGGTTTTGTTGTTAGGGCTTGGGAAAAGATAGGTTGAGGTTGTTTCCATTTATGCACTGTTGTGATGGCTTTAACAAGGAATTTAATAAGTAAAGTAAAGGGATATCTGATGCCTCCTTTAATTTACTTAAATTTCTTGTTATAACCGTCGCAAAAGACCATTTATTGTGTGGTCAGGGCAGGCATTGTCCTCTGCCAGTTGGGAAAGTTAGGAATACCTTAGTAATTGAATATAGGCTAACTCAAAATTCTTTCTTGTGCATTATGTCAGTGCTAAGGCATTTACTTCTTTCCCAAGGCAAATTAGCATATAGAAACTTAGGTTCCAACTGGTGTTAAGCCTGTATTAGATAGCCATAAACAGCTCCTGTTTTTCCAGTCTGTTCTGTTGGCTCCATTGTAACCTGACAACACAGTATCTATTTTAAGGTGTCTGGTGGTCGGTTGTCTTTCACTTGCTTGCCCATCAGGCAGGAACAGGATCCACCCTAGACACTTGAGTCATTTCCTTTCATCAAATCATAAAAGTAAACATCATTATAGTTTTTAACCACAAATATATCTGTTCACTTACTTGAGCGCCCCCCCCCCCATTACCTCCCGTGGTTCTCTCATTACTCATCTTCCCTTCCTTTCTTACAGTGTTTTAACTCCTCCTCTTGTTTACCCTCTCCATTCCCATTCCTTCACCTCTCATTTCTGACTCCATTTCCTGGCAATTTTTTTCTGCCACTATGCGTCCAGACCACTGGTGCCCAAACTTACATTCATGTATCCTTATCAGTAAAATGTTTCAGATTATGCTCCTGTTATTATATAACACATTATATGCATAAACGGATACATTGTATGCATTATATATGGCCATGTATAATACATGATACACGAAACATGTTACATGCATTATATATGCATATATAATACTTTATATATGTAAAGCAATATTGTACACAGACACAAAATGGAATTTAAGGAAGGATGAACTAAGATAGAAATTAAAATTCGAATACTCTCTTTCTTTCTATACCCTTAAAGAATTGTCTTGCCCTGCATTAGTGATGACTGGTCTAGAATTCAGTGTTTCACCTGAGTGTTATTTGTGCACAAGCATACAGATGGAAAAGGTGTTAATTTTTAATAGCTCTAGTCTGATTATAGTAGGTATAATGCAGTGGTAACAAGTTTAGAACAGAAGCCATCTTTACTTGTACATGTGATTAAAGCTGGGCATGTTCCGTCTCTTAAAAAGTGTGGGCTTGGAAGCTAGTCATGGCTCTGTCTGATGCTTTGATGCAGACTTGTCTGGGTGAACTTCAAACAGTTATCAGAACTACGCTTCACTTTAAATTAATGTCTTCATAGTTTTGAAACATCATGATAATTTACCTCTGTAGGTGGCATATGGAAAAAGTATGCACAACATAAAAAGACCCTCAAATGAAAGGCAAATAATAATCAGCAACTGGGCAGAGAGTGGTGACTCATGCCTGTAATCTCAGCACTTTGGGAGGCCAAGGCGGATGGATCACCTGAGTTCAGGAGTTCAAGACCAGCCTGGCAAACATGGTGAAACCCTGTCTCTACTAAAAATACAAAAATTAGCCGGGTGTGGTGGTGCATGCCTGTAATTCCAGCTACTCGGGAGGCTGGGGCAGGAGAATTGCTGGAACCTGTGAGGCCAAGGTTGCAGTGAGCCAAAATTGTGCTGCTGCACTCCAGCATGGGCATCAGAGCGAGACTGTCTCAAAAAAAAAAAAAAGCAGTTAACTATATGATCTTGGAAATGCACACAGCATGATTTGTGGTTTGTAAACTAGTATTTTTATCTTCTGTGTGGTTTTTGTTTTTTGTTTGAGACAGGGTTTTGCTCTTTCACCTAGGTGGTAATGCAATCACAGGTCACTGTAGCCTCAACTTCTGGGCTCAAGTGATCCTCCCACCTCAGCCTCCCAAGTAGCTGGGACTACAAGTGTGTATCACCACATCTGGCTAATTTTTAAATTTTTTGTAGAGATGGGGGTTTCACTGTGTTGGCCAGGCTTGTCTCAAACTTCTGACCTCTGATGATCCACCCGCCTTGGCCTCCCATAGTACTGGGATTACAGGCGTGAGCCACTGCATCTGGCCCCAAATTGATGATTTTCAAAGGCTACATACTATGCCATCATATAGATGTATTATAATTTATTTAGCAACCTTCCTTTTGTTGGGCATAATATTGGGGAAAATTGGAAGCAGTTGTAAGTAACATTGCCGTGAACATCCATATATGTAAGGCTGTATTCTCCATTTCTGTTACTTTCTCAGGGTAAATACTTAGATGTGTGGTTGCCAGATCAAAGATATAAACTGTTTGAAAAGCTTTTAGTAACTGTTGCTGAATTGCCTTCCAGAGGGTTAGGCTTTTAGTAACTGTTGCCAGATTGCCTCCCAGAGGGTTATACAAGTCCAGCTGGCTATTATGTGGGGATAGTTGTTACATATCTATTATATGTAGATAACTTGGTATATAGTGGGCATTTAATTAATGGTAGTATGAAGCCATTCAGATGTAGTTCCAAGTGTTTTGTGGCCAGTTTATGATCCTTATTTTATCTTTATTATTTATTTTTTAGAGATGAGGTCTCACACTCTAGCCCAGGCTGAAAAGTAGTGTTGCAATCATAGCTCACTATGTCCTCAACATGCTGGGGTCAAGGGATCCTCCCAAGTAGCTGTGACTTTTTTTTCCCTTCTGTTTTCTTTTCTTTTTTTTAAGACAAGGTCTTGCCCGTGCTGGGCTTGAACTCCTGGCTTCAAGCAGTCCTCCTGCCTCAGCCTTCCAGAGTGTTGGGATTATAGGTGTGAGCCACTGCACCTGGCCTACCAGTTTATGTTCCTTAATGCTAGAATTTTATTGTTAAGCTTTCTGTTAATAGAAGGCTCTCATTCAGAGACCAGAAAACATCTGACCTCATGCTTAAAAGTTCTGGAGTTTTATTAATTAGTCTATTGTTAAATGTTGATTAAGATTATAATTCAGTCTCTGGGGTGCCTCCCCTGGAGTAAGTACCAGCAGTTGTGCCAGTTTTGCTGATTAAGACTCATAGCTGTATACATTTTCTTGTTGTATGTTTTTATGACTGGCAAAACTTGAATTTTGGGCTTTGTAGCTGTTGAGTTGGGTAACACGCATGGTGGAAGGATCAAGAATGCCATCAGTGGAACGCCTTTTGTTTTGACTGGTAGAGATTTGAGGCCATGTCTAATAGATACTTGTGTTCGTTTGGAAGATCACCCGGATTTATTTTGGGACTTTTGCTGCAAAATAATTGTCTTTCTTGGACTCTTAAGCCTATTTAAACAAAAAGAAATAGTTCTTTGTGGCAGTTACAATTTTAGCTGAGCTTTAGTTGATCTCATGTATGTCCTTAGACTAAAATGGAGCACAGCTGCTGCTTCGTCGGTGTGAAGAACGTTTGCTCCTTACCCAGGTTCTTCAGTCTAGTGTTTCCAGGAAATTGGTGCTGAAGCAACATTTCATACTTTATAGACATGCTCGATGTGGTGATTATCTGGGTTTTACGTTTTTATTGTTAGGTCATGCTGCCTTCCTTTAAAAAATGATATTGTCTGCTAAGGAAATATTGTGGCAACTAAACAGTGATGGAGTGAAGTGTGGCATCTGTGAAGTGGGAGTCAGAGCGGGGAGTTGGTGTTTTCTTCATGTTCAGGACATGGTGGGGATGCGTTGAGGCAGCAGACAGTATTTTGATCCTCCTGCTGAATAGAGTTTCTTACTGGCAATGGATGGCTTAGTAGTGCTTGTTAGAGTCACCTAGCTAATTCACCAGGCTACTTCAGGGTTATGTTTGGGAAGGCTGTATATGATACTACTCAGGATTATGGGCTTTGAAATCAGACAGTTGTTCCAGTTGCAGTTTTCTTTTGTTTTTTTTTTTGAGACGGAATTTCGCTGTTGTTACCCAGGCTGGAGTGCAATGGTGCAATCTCGGCTCACCGCAACCTCCGCCTCCTGGGTTCAAGCAATTCTCCTGCCTCAACCTCCCGAGTAGCTGGGACTACAGGCGAACGCCACCACGCCCAGCTAATTTTTGCATTTTTAGTAGAGACGGGATTTCACCCTGTTGACCAGGATGGTCTTGATCTCTTGACCTTGTGATCCACCTGCCTCGGCCTCCCAAAGTGCTGGGATTTTAGGCATGAGCCACCGTGCCCCGGCCTCTTCTTGTTTTTTTTTTTTTTTTTAGAAACAAGATTGGCCGGGTGTGGTGGCTTATGCCTGTAATCCCAACACTTTGGGAGGCCAAGGCTGGTGGATCACAAGGTCAGGAGATTGAGACCATCTTGGCCAACATGATTAAAAATTACAAAAATTAGCTGGGCGTGTTGGCGTGCACCTGCAGTCTCAGCTACTTGGGAGGCAGAGGCAGGAGACTTGCTTGAACCCAGGAGGCAGAGGTTGCAGTGAGCCGAGATTGTGCCACTGCATCCCAGCCTGGCAACAGAGCGAGACTCTGTCTCAAAAAGAAAAAAAAAAAAGAGATCTTACTCTGTTGCCCAGGCTAGAGTGCAGTTGTACAATCATAACTCATTGCAACCTCAAATTCCTGGGTTCAGGTGATCCTCCTGTTTCAGTCTCCCAAATAGCTGAGACTACAGGAATATGCTACCATGCTCAACTAATTATTATTATTATTAATTTTTTTTGGTAGAGATGTGGTCTTGTGTTGCCCGGGCCGGCTTTGCATTCCTTGACTCAGACGATCTTTCTACCTCAGCCTCCCAAAGTGTTGGGATTATAGGCTTGAGCTACTGCACCCTGCCTGGATAGGATTATTTTGATCCTCCTGAGTTTGAATCCTCCTTGTAAATAAATACATGTTCTCTTATAAATATGGTTAGATATACCTCTGCTCCCAGGAGACTATTCATGTGTCTCTAAATATACTGATAGTTGAATTTATGAAACTGGAAAATTAAAGAGTAGGTTGTTGCCTACTGATGACTTTATTACAGTGGCTTCACAATGTTGATGCTGCACTGGAAGAGCTTGCTACCTGCCATTTCCCTTGGCATGCCTCTTTTCTCGTTGCTCACTGCAGCCTGTGACGCTTGTCACTTCCGGTTGTATGTGTTTTTTCCAGGCAGTCTCACAAGTTATAATATGACTCTCAGTTGTTTTGCAAAAAATCTGTGTTGATGCTGATGTACTTTTACTATGAAATAATGTGCTTAAATAAGGGTGTGTGAACGGAATGATGGGAGTGCAGTCTGTTGAGATGTGGTTCTGTTTTTGTTTTTTAAGAGACAAGAGTCTCACTCTCTTGCCCCAGGCTGGAGTGCAGTGGTACAACTGCAGCTCACTACAGCCTGGACCTCTTGGGCTCAAGCAGTCCTCCCGCCCCAGACTTCTAAGTAGCTGGGACTACAGTCACACGCTACCATGGCTGGCTGTTAATTTTTTTTTTTTTTTTTTAGACATGGGGTCTCACTACATTGCCCAGGCTGGTCTCAAACTCCAAGGCTTAGCCTGTTTATGCCTAATGTTCCATTATTGGAATGCTAAGCTTGTGGGAGTTATTTATATCCTGTTGCTAAAGGTCATCGCCAAGGTCTGAGTTTTCATACAAAAAAATGTGCAAGCTCTGGCATAAATGGGTTAAGCAATGCTCCTGCCTCAGCCTCCTCAAGTGCTAGGATTACAGGCATGAGCCATTGTACCAGATCTGAAATGTGTTTTAGCTCAGTGGATTGGGCATTAAGAACTTATAGTATTTTTTCAAGTCATGCATAAAATTTGTGTAATTGGGCCCACAAATTTTCTCATATTCAGAAGAATTTGATTTTGGTAGGAACTCATTTTCCTGTTCTGTTTCTCATGTCTATAAATTCTGAGAGCAGATATGACAGAATCACTTTTTTTCTAGTTTAAATGCTGTATTTTCAGGTTTGGTTCCCCCTCCTGCCCCTGTCCCCAAGTGGAGTCTTGTTGCCCAGAGCTGGAGTGCAATGGTTCAATCTCACCTCACTGCAACCTCTACTTCTGGGGTTCAAGCAATTCTCCTGCCTCAGCCTCCTGAGTAGCTGGGTTTACAGGTGTACTCCACCATGCCTGGCTAATTTTTGTATTTTTAGTGGAGACGGGGTTTCACATGTTGGCCATGCTGGTCTCGAGCTTCTGAGCTCGTCATCTGCCTGCCTTGGGCTTCCAAAGTGTTGGGATTACAGGCGTGAGCCACTGCACCCAGCCACCATATTTTCAGTTTTTATTTCAGGTGACCTTACTGTGAAGGCTGTAAGGAAACATTATAGAATGATAATGTTAGCAGAGAGAACTGGAAGGGACAGCTGTAATGATGATCTAGCCCATCTGCTTGCTTGCTACTTGGGAAGGGTGAGGCCTGGACCTGCTGAGTGATGTGCCCCTTGCAGGGAGTTATTGGCAGAGCCAGGGCAGAACTCAGGTTCCTCAGTTTGCATGTGGCCTGGTAACAAGCGAATCATTGGGAGGAAAACCTTCTAAGGCCTGAGTTTATTCTGAATGCCTTTCTGGAGTATGTAGCAATACAGGGCAGATTTTATGTTTTTTCATGACAAAATTATAGTATATTTTTGTTCTTTCCTTTCTACAACACATTATTTCATCTATTTTTGTGCTCTTAGGTTTTCTTCCGTTTGATTACACATCATGAAAATATTTTTATTAGTACATCCCTAATTTTTTCTACTTTTATTTAGTTGTTCTTTTTCTCTCTATTTTATTTTCTCTTTTTTTTATTTTTTATTATTTTTTTTCTTTATACTTGCCATGCATGAGCAATCTTTCTTTCTTTCTTTTTGAGACTGAGTCTCGCTCTGTCTCCCAGGCTGTAGTATTGTGGCACGATCACGGCTCACTGCAACTTCCTCCTCCTGTGTTCAAGTGATTCTCCTGCCTCAGCCTCCGAGTAGCTGGGACTACAGGCACGCACCACCACACCCAGCTAATATGTCGTATTTTTATTAGAGACTAGGTTTCACAGTGTTAGCCAGAATGGTCTCAATCTCCTGACCTTGTGATCTACCCGTCTTGGCCTCCCAAAATGCCAGGATTACAGGCATGAGCTACCATGCCTGGCCAGTTATTATTTTCTTACTTTTGCTTTATTTTCTAGTCATAAACATAAGAGTGATACAACTTTGGGGATGGTTCTGGAGCCATTTGTTCAAAAAAAAGAAAAAAAGAAAGAAAAAACTTTTGGGATAGTAGAAGAGAAGGAAGAATGCAGTGGAGGAAGGATGATATTTGGGAACCTTTTGCCAATGTACAAGATTATTTAAAAGTGCACACATTATTTAATAGTACTGTTGTTAGCATACCCAGAATAAATCATCCCCTTTTCCTCCCTTCTAAAAATTAAATCTAAAATTATATCCATTATTTCCATAAATTTATTCATTGTTTAATTCAACAAATATTTGAGCATCAGTCATGTAACAGGCCCTGTTCTAAGCATTTATGTTCTGGTGAATGAAACAAAGTCCTTGTCCTCAAGTAGTTGACAATTAATGGTGCAGAGGACAATAAATAAATAAATATGTATTGTGCTAGTGGAGAGTACATTTCCAAATAACATATTAGGGAAGAACTCTGAAGAGTAATGTTTGATCAGAGACATAAAAGAAAAAAATGAGTGGAAAAAGAACATTCTTCAGGTAGAACAAGAGAAACAGCCCTCAAGGGGAAGTTGCTCCCTGTTTTTTGAGGAACAGCAGTCATCATGAATGGTGAAGTCAGAAGGGGAGCCAGGGGCCAAATTCTTTGGTCCTGGTAGGGGACGGGAAGGACTGTGGGTTTAATTCTAGGTGTGGTGAGAATCTTCTGGAAGGTTTGAACAGGGAGTGTGACATCTCATTCAGAGGAAAACTGGTCCTTTTGCTTTGCACTGTGTTACTTCTCAGTGCTTTATACAGTTGTATATCTTTTCTCATTGTAGATCGTCTATGCTGAAAGACCTCTCACAGACAACCACAGATCATTGGCTTCTTATGGCTTGAAAGATGGGGATGTTGTGATTTTACGACAGAAGGAGAATGCAGACCCTCGACCTCCAGTGCAGTTCCCAAGTAAGACATCTCGTGGTTGAACATCCCCCAGCACAACCACCAGCAGGTAGCAGAGTGTAGCGCCTCAGAGTTTTGGATTCAGGCTACAGAATACAGATCCTGACTCTGCCTTTTCCCTACTGTGTAACCTTGGATAATATCTCTAAATTGGTTTCCTCTTCTATAAAATAGGTGCCGTAATTAACCCCAGCTCCTAAAGCTGACTTGAGGCTAATGCCTGTAAAATTTTCAGCACAGAGCAAGCTTCTTATTATCTTCTGTTAACAAGCTAACAAATGTCAGCTTCTGTTATCAGTGATACTTATACAATAATCTTTATCCTTTGTAAGGATTTGAACGTGAGAGACTACATAAGCCTATGATTTTGCTACTTTGTGTCTGTCCTTTAGTGGCCAGCCCTTATGGATCATTTTATTGCCAGCCAGGCACTTATAGCTGCATTTCACATGATCTCATAACTTGGTTGTGGGGGAATTTACATGACGATTTACAATTATGAAGCTCAGATTTTAAATAGTGTCTTTAAAGTTACATAGCTGTGAAGTCAGGGCACAGGAATTAAAATTTGATGCTTTTTCCATTATGCTGAACTTGATAAACATTAATCAGCTTGACCAAGTTTTGGTTCTTTCCTGCTAGCTGTGTTAATCACATACAAAGAAACATTTATCTTTGATGCTCCTTTTATAATAGATGTTTGTAGCCTGAAATCTGTGCATTGGGATTTAGTAGGTTTCTGTGTCACTGAAATAATATGCAGAATTGTGTGGGTATGAACGTGTATGTGCAGTGGATAGAGAGAGGGTCATAGTTTTGTTCAGAAACTTAAAGTGGCTCATGATCCACAAAATGTTTATAAGGTCTTAATGTGAAACAGCTTGGTGGAATGTGTGATTTTTTTTTTTTTTTTTCCCCATTCCCTGCCATATTGTGATAGATTTTTCTTAAATAGTGTTTAGCCTGTAGGTCACCAGTTTTAATGTTTATAGTGACAGATGCTAGCAGTCTGGATGATGCCAGACTGCAGCTTTGAGCACAGTGTTTCCATTCTGCCCGAAACTGGAGGTTTTTGAGACCATCAAGGACTGACTCCACCAGATCTGGAAGACATTCATCCCTTGGGGCCACAGTTGTATTTAAACAACTATGACAATCAGTGAAAACCACATTTTCCTTTGGTTAATTTGATGAGATTGTTAATTCTGAATTTACTTGGTTTTTGTTTTGTTTTGTTTTGTTTTTTCAGTATTGTTGCATATGGATAACAGAGCCAACAGGTTGGGGTGGGAGTGCTCTGGTCTATTAAGTAAACATGTTTTTGAGAATTATTCTGAAGTCAATGGACTCTCAAGATAATGTATAACAGGGGGTGGAGATAAAATTTCTTGACCTGCAAAGAGGGCCCACCCATACATGTTTTTCTGGCTGGTGTAGATTAACTACCTCACAGATCATCCTGTTCACTTAACCTTCTCCTTGGTTGGGAGTTGAAGAAAGTGGCTAGGTGAACCCCTGCTAAAGGGTAGAAATGTTACATCTGAGTTTAAGCATTTTCTTTTTCTATCTGAGGTCCAAAAACGCTTCAGGATAGTCCCAGACTTGAGGCAAGTTTGTTTTTTGGTTTTTGGTTTTTTTTAGTTTATATAAAATCCTTAATAGTGCAAATATTGTGCTATAATTCTAATCACTGTGGAATTGCTTAGTGTACTGTTATTTATAACATTAAACACAATTATCTTTTTTAAAAGTATTCAGTTGTTGAGACAAGTTTGATCATCAAATATATTTTTGGAGTTGAAGGAATGTTGATTGACTCAGGCCTAGCCCCTCATTCTGGCTCTCCTTGTTTACTTTTCTGCTTTTTTTTTTTTTTTTTTTTTTTTTTTAAATAACAGTTTTGTTGAGATACAGTTCACCCATTTAAAGGATTTGGTACTGTAATCATGAGTTGTACAGCCATCACCACAATCCATTTTAGCATATTTTCATTACCTAAAAAAGAAACCCTATGCCCATTTATACTCATTTCCCATTTCCCCCTAGACTCTACAGCCTAGACAACTACAAGTCTACTTTTTGTCTCTATGTATTTACCTGTTTGGGACATTTCATATGAATGGGGTCGTACAATATGTGGGTCCTTTGTGTAAGGATTAAAATTCCCCTTTATCTTCCTTTCATTTTAATAAGGTTAGCTTAGCCTGGCATATAGGATCTGGGAGCTGTAGCTTCTAAACCATGGTAGCTTTTTGTGTACTCAGCACTGAGAATCTATCCAAGTCCCTTTTCTTCTTTCTTTCCTATAAAATGACACCATTTAGCTCCCCAGGGGCATGAGAAGAGTTAGCAGAGATGCACAGATGGAAGTATAAATTTAGAGAACTTTTAAGAACTGCCCTGAGCCAATACCTTTAGCACTGACTTGAAGAATTTAGTATCTAACATTTATGCTGCTCACTTGATATATAAAATATTCGTAGTTCTGGCCAGGCAAGGTGGCTCACGCTTGTAATCCCAGCACCTTGGGAGGCTGAGGTGGGTGGATCACCTGAGGTAAGGAGTTCAAGACCAGCCTGGGCAACATGGTGAAACCCCATCTCTACTAAAAATACAAAAAATTAGCTGGATATGGTGGCAGACGCCTGTAATCCCAGCTGCTTGGGAGGCTGAGCAGGAGAATCACCTGAACCCAGGAGGTGGAGGTTGCGGTGAGTCAAGATTGCACCATTGCACTCCAGCCTGGGCAACAAGGTGATACTCCATCTCAAAAAAAAAAAAAATTCTTTGATCCAAGCATCAAGGGTCTTTGAACCATATGTCAGACCAGAGTAGGATTTTTCTCAAGAACAACATCCAGATTTATGCAATTATATTTTTTGAAATTAGCCTTAATTATTTAAAAACATAAATAAAAACCTGATGTCTATTATGAGGTATTTTATAAGCTGAAAATTTGGGGTTACTACCATCGCCTTCCCTCTATTTTTCTTCTTTCCTATCGATTCACTCTCAGCCTGCAGTCTTTATAGTCAGGGTCAGCGTGAGAAAGAACAAGGGTAAAGTCTACAGTTACCTTTTGCTGCTGTCAAATACCATGTATGAGCAAGTGTTCTGCTGTTTCCTTGAAGAGCTTGTTTTTATAGAGTCATTTGAGTAAACTGAACTGATTTTCCCCCACAGACTTACCCCGCATAGATTTCAGTAGTATAGCTGTGCCTGGCACATCAAGTCCCCGGCCGCGCCAGCCACCAGGAACACAGCAGTCCCACTCATCTCCTGGAGAAATTGCTTCATCTCCTCAGGGCTTGGACAATCCAGCCTTGCTCCGAGATATGTTGCTGGCCAACCCGCATGAACTATCCTTGCTGAAGGAACGCAATCCACCCTTGGCAGAAGCTCTGCTCAGTGGAGACCTTGGTAAGCTTATAAATTTGGAAGACTGATAGGCTGGCCTGAGGCAAAAAAGATGTGTCATAACAAATGTGAAGAGACAAAAGCAACACTGTGTCACATGGTTTATTAAACATACCAGTTTGTTCTCTGTGAGAGGTAAATTAGTGCTAAAGTCAAGGCTGAGTTAATTGGAAATAGCAATAGAGCTGTAGGAGTGAAATCCATCTAGGCCACCCCCCTCAGTTTACTTTTTGTTTTCCTCACTGTTTTTGGCAGCACATAACCTGTTTAGTTAGATCTTCATTTAAAGAGAGCACCAACAAGCCAGCTGATGCCAGCTGGCATTTTTATTTTTTTTTTAGTTACCGGAAATAGGTTCAGTGCCCTGTATGGCAAAATGGAACCTCCTTAACCTCAGTTCACTCCAGGTTATTTTTTGTGGAGATGGAGTTTTGCCATGTTGTCCAGCCTGGTCTCAAACTTCTAGGCTCTTGCAAACTCCCTGCCTCGGCCTCCCAAAGTGCTGGGATTACAGGCATGAGCTGTCAAACCCAGCCAGTTTTTAGTCATCTTTATGAATTGAGTTTTCTCTGTAAATTTCTCTCATTTTACTCTTGGGTTTATGAGTTAAATTGGGTTAAATTTAAAAACATAACAGACACTTAAATGACTCATTCCTCAGTTGACTGTTATTAAATTGACAGTCTTTACCTTACAGAGAAGTATACAGATTTTAAATATACAATTCCTTGAGTTTTGGCAAACTCCTGTAACCCCAGTCAAGACACAGGACATTTCTCTCACTCTAGAAGGTTCTACTCTGTTCCTTTCTAGACCGTTTCCTCTCCTTATAGGTTACTACTATTTTGATAATCTAACAGTTTAGTTTTGCCTGTTTTTAAATTTCATGTATTTGGAATTGTAGAGTGTCTGCCCTTTGATGTTAGGCTTCTTTCACTCAGTGTTTTTTAGATTCATCTGTACTGTGTGTATTAGTAGTTCAGATAACTGTTGTCGTAATTTCTTTTAATTTCTTATGTCAGCATATCTAATTACCAAAGACCGTGATGTTGGGGCATTTAAGTTTGCACACTTAAATGTACCACCATTTAAGAAATTGCAGAATATATTCTTGTTGTAACATACATTTTGTAGCAAGCAGTGTTTTCTCTATTAATTTTCCTCCCTATTAATTTTTTTTTCTTTAAGTATTTCAGCTTATCAGAACACACAAAATATAAGTAGACTAACAATAGTTAATATTTAATTTGTCTGGCTTAAGGCAGGGCATATTATAAAGGAAATGAAACTAGAAGAGAAAAAGGGGATTATATAATGCTCTGTTTTGTTTCTAGGTAATAGGATAATGAGGACAATGGGGAGGGGAGGAGTGGAGACATTTGTCTGCCACATGGATAGTCATTCCCCATTGATTTAAATTGGAAAGTGGTTACCTCTGAGTAGAAGCAGTATGATAGATAACTTCTTATAAAAGATTTTTGCAAATAATTATTACTATTTTTTTAAGACAGAGCCTCACTCAGTCACCCAGGCTGGATGTGTGGTGTGATCACAGCTTACTATAGCCTCGACCTTCTGGGCCCAAGCCATCCTCCCACCCTGGAACCCCCTCCCAACAATAGCTGGGACTACAGGCACACACCACCATACCTGGCTAATTTTTATACTTTTTGTAGAGACAAGATCTTGCTGCATTGCCCAGGCTGACCTCAAACTCCTAGGCTCAAACAGTCCTCCCACCTCAGCCTCCCATAGTGTTGAGATTATAGGCATGAGTGACCACACCCAGCCACAAATGCTTTCTTTAAACTGAACTTAAATAATGAAATAGCCTTGACTCAGAGAATAGAAAGTAAATGTAATTGCTTGTTTCAGATAAATTTTAGGCATCCTCTCTGCATCTCTTACAGTTGTAGTTTGAAAAACTGTTTAATGTGGAAAAGTACTGATAAAGACTGAAAATCTAGTGGTACTTAAGATTTTTCCGCCTTATTTTTGTAGAGAAATTTTCTAGAGTCCTGGTGGAGCAGCAGCAGGACCGAGCCCGGAGAGAGCAAGAAAGGATTCGTCTGTTTTCTGCTGATCCCTTTGACCTTGAAGCTCAGGCCAAGATAGAAGAAGACATAAGGTAAATGACCTGTTGTTCATCTAAAGAACAAGACTCAGATTCTAGATTTCCCAAACTGCAGGTTATCTGGCGTTGTATAAATTTCCTAAATTTTAGGAAATGGAAATTGTATAAATTTCCTAAAAATTTTAAAATTAAAATTAAATCCCCTCCCCCCTGCGCGCGCGCGCGCACACACACACACACACACACACAAAACCACACAACATTAGAGGAATGCCAAAAATACTCTCTATGACAACTTTCTTTCAATTCTTTAATGAAGGTGTTGGTCCCAACGGTGCTCATAGACTAAGGGATTCTGCTTCCTTCTGAACTGGATCATTTGTTAGAGGCTTTAGAAAAAGAAAATTAGCTTGAAATCTAATCCAGGAAATTGGGGGCGAAAGTGAAAAAGTCGGTCTCTTGTTTCTCCGTGATACACAGGCTTCCCATCTAAAGTCATGCTTAACTAAAAGGGAAAAAAATGAACCAAGCAAAAGCATATAGAGCAGCCATGACATCTGCGTTACTTTCTAGACTTCACATTTGCCTGCAACAGGCATAACATGAAACTCCAGAGGGAATTCGAATTGATAGGAGTGTTCACATACACACCAGCAGTGGCTAACTATTACAGTTGGGCAACTGTTTGGAGGTAGCTTCTCTGTTTTGCAGTTGAGATAGTAACCTCAGTCTTTCATGTTATTCCCTCCTCTTTCATTTACTACGCATTTTGATTCAACATGACAAAGATGTAATTCTTAGTTTAGTAACTTTCCATTCTAAAATTGTAAGGAAGACTCCCTGACTGGCAGAGAGAGCATCATAACACAACTCTAGATAAGTAACCTGGACTGAGCAGAAGCCACCATCTGGTGAGACTGTAAGGCTGGTTACATATTACATGGGCTGATTTGACTCTCTTTCCTTAGGCTTGTGGTATAAGTCCTGATTAAATCCAGGGCTTGAACATGATTGGATTAGAGAGGGCTCTTCGAGGATGGAACGTTGGTGGTCTGAAGTCTGTTTTCCTGCTGCACTTCTTGTGCTGGCCTCAGTGGATAAACTGAATGCTGGACATGTTTCTAGCCCTCAGTTTCTGGAATTCAGTGGTTCCCACCTGGGGCTATAGTAAAATCACATGAGAAGATTTTAAAAATGCAGATGCTTGGGCTCTTCTCCCAAATCTGATGAATCACAATTGTCGGGCAGGGAGCCTAAGCAAGGACAGTGACGCTGTTCCGGCCTCAGTCACACTGCTAGTCACAAGCAAGTTTCTCTTGTCTAAAAAAAAGGACAGCTGTTTTTCCCTCCTCAAGTCAGTTTTTGTTCCTAATTGTGAAGAACGTAGTATAACTAAGAAGAAGGTAACAGCAGTGATACTACTCTTAAACTGCTTAGCCTTTTAGGGACTTTGTCATCATTTTGTTTACTTAAATGAAGCCTAACTTGGTTATTATATTACACTATCGACTTAGAAATCAAATCATGCTGGCTGGGAGCAGCTGCTCATGCCTATGATCCCAGCACTTTGGGAGGCCAAGGCAGGTGGATCACAAGATTATAAAATAGAGATCAAATCATGCTTTTTTTGTTTTTTGAGGCAGAGTCTTGCTCTGTCACCCAGGGTGGAGTGCAGTGGTGTGATCTCGGCTCACTGCAACCTCCACCTCCCGGGGTTCAAGCAATTCTCCTGCTCCTGAGTACCTGGGATTACAGTTGCCCGCCACCACGCCCAGTTAATTTTTTTTTTTTTTTTTTTTTTTTTTGCGACAGAGTCTTGCTCTGTCACCAGGTGCCAGGCTGGAGTGCAGTGGCTCGATCTCGGCTCACTGCAACCTCTGCCTCCCAGGTTCAGGCTATTCTCCTGCCTCAGCCTCCCGAGTAGCTGGGACTACAGGCCTACACCACCATGCCCAGCTAATTTTTGTATTTTTAATAGAGATGGGGTTTCACCTGGCCGGGCGCGGTGGCTCAAGCCTGTAATCCCAGCACTTTGGGAGGCCGAGGCAGGTGGATCACGAGGTCAAGAGATCGAGACCATCCTGGTCAACGTGGTGAAACCCCGTCTCTATTAAAAATACCAAAAAAAAATTAGCTGGGCATGGTGGCGCGTGACTATAATCCCAGCTACTCAGGAGGCTGAGGCAGGATAATTGCCTGAACCCAGGAGGCGGAGGTTGCGGTGAGCCGAGATTGCGCCATTGCACTCCAGCCTGGGTAACGAGCAAAACTCCATCTCAAAAAAAAGAGAGATGGGGTTTCACCACGTTGGCCAGGATGGTCTCGATCTCTTGACCTCGTGATCTGCCCATCTCAGCCTCCCAAAGTGCTGGGGTTACAGGCGTGAGCCACTGTGCCCTGCCTAATTTTTTTGTATTTTTAGTAGAAATGGGGTTTTACCATCTTGGCCAGGCTGGTCTCAAACTGCTGACCTCATGATCCACCCGCCTCAGCCTTCCCAAGTACTGGGATTACAGGCATAAGCCAACGTGCCTGGCCCTCAAATAATGCCTTTTTAAACTTATTATTTTATTTATTTATTTATTTACTTTGAGACAAGGTCTCACTCTGTCACACAAGCTGGAGTGCAGTGGCGCAATCACAGCTCATTGCAGCCTGGTCCTCCCCCAGACTGAGGTGTTCTTCCCACCTTAGCCTCCCAAATAGCTGGGAATACAGGTGTCTGCCACCATATCCAGCTAATTTTTGTGTTTTTTGTAGAGACAGGATTTCACCATGTTGCCCAAGCTGGTCTTGAACTCCTGGACTCACGAAATCTACCCACCCTGGCCTCCCAAAGTGCTGGGATTGTAGGTATGAGCCACTGCGCCTAGGTCTTATTCTTTTTTTAAATTTTTTATTTTTTATTTGAGATGGAATCTCTTTCTGTCACCAGTCTGGAGTGCAGTGGTGCCATCTCAGCTCACTGCAACCTCTGCCTCCCAAGTTCAAGCAGTTCTTCTGCATCAGCCTCCCAAGTAGCTGGGACTACAGGTGCGCACCAGCACGCCCAGCTAATTTTTTGTATTTTAGCAGAGATGGGGTTTCACCATGTTGGCCAGGATGGTCTCAATCTCTTGACCTCATGATATGCCTATCTCGGCCTCTCAAAGTGTTGGTATTACAGGCGTGAGCCACCATACCTGGCCTGTTTGTTTGTTTTGAGATGAGGCCTCCAACATTTAGGCTGGAGTGCAATGGCACGATCATGGCTCATTACAGCCTCAACTTCTTGGGCTTCGGTGATCCTCCCACCACAGCCTCCCAAGTAACTGGGACTACAGGTGTACCACCATGTCTGGGTAACTTTTCTTGTATTTTGTAGAGACAAGCTTTTGCCGTGTTGCCCAGTCTGGTCTTGAAGTACTGGGCTCAAGTGATCTGCCCAGCTCCCGGAGTGCTGGGATTATGGGAGTGCGCCACCACGCTTGGCCTGAGGTTTATTTTTTGTTTGTTACAGTGTCTTGCTCTGTTGCCCAGGCTGGAGTGCAGTGGTGCCATCATAGCTAACTATGGCCCAAGCAATCTTCTTGCCTCAGTCTCCTGAATAGCTGGGACTTCAGGCATGTGCTACGTCAGCTGATTTTAGGGATAGGGTCTCACTGTGTTGTTCAGGCTGGTCTCAAACTCCTGGCCTCAAGTGATCCTCCTGCTTTGGCCTCTTAAAGTGCTGGAAGGCGTGAGCCACTGTGCCTCGCCATAGTAGACTTCCTATGAATGAGCAGATAGTAAATATTTTAGGCTTTGCAGACCATATAGTCTGTGTTGCTCATGTTCAGCTCTGCCACTGCCATGTGAAAGCAGCCATAGACAATAGGATAATATGTAAATGCATGATATGACTGTGGGGTTTCCATAATTTTTGTGCCTAAATAGCAGGCTATGATTTACCAACCATAGATTTATAGTGTAGTTTACCCCAAATCTTAGACCCTGTTGTTAGTGTCTGTCTTTAGGTAAGTTGTCCAGCCACTGACCTAGTTTCCATTAATGTTGGTAGTATTTGATAATTTTTTTTTTTCTTTCTTTCTTTTTTTTTGAGATGGAGCCTTGCTATGTCACCCAGGCTGGAGTGTCATGGCATGGTCTCTGCCTCCTGGGTTCAAGCAATTCTTCTGCCTCAGCCTCCTAAGTAGCTGAGGACTGTAGGCATATGCCACCATGCCTGGCTGATTTTTGTATTTTTAGTAGAGATGGAGTTTCACCATATTGGCCAGGCTGGTCTCAAATTCCTAACCTTGTGATCCACCTGCCTCCGCCTCCCGAAGTGTTGAGATTACAGACATGAGCCACTGTGCCTGGCTGATAATGTTTCTTACTTACTTACTTACTTATTTATTTATTTTACTTTTTTTTTTTTTTTAACAAAGGCAGGGTTTCACCATGTTGGTCAGGCTGGTCTTGAACTCCCGACCTCAGGTGATCCGCCTGCCTTGGCCTCTAAAATGCTTGGATTACAGTGTGAGCCACTATGCCCGGCCTGATAATGTTTTTAAAAGATTGATTCGTGCTGTTCTAAGGGAGTAGAAACAAATTGGGAATCAACACAAAATGTTGGCATAAGCAAGAAGTCCCTTTTGTGTGCTTTTCTCATGTGAGAATTAGATTTGTGTTGATATTTTTTTTTTCCTCTCTTTTGGTGGAGAGAGATGAAGTTTCACCATTTTGTCCAGGCTAATCTGAAACTCCTGAGCTCAAGGATCGGCCCACCTTGGCCTTCCAAAGTGCTGAAACTACAGGTGTGAGCCACTGCACCTGGCATATTTGTTATTTATTTATTTATTTTGAGACAGCATCTCACTCTGATGCCCAGGCCGGAGTGCAGTGGTGCGATCTCGGCTCACTGCAACCTTTGCCTCCCAGGTTCAAGTGATTCTTCCGCCTCAGTTTCCTGAGTGGTGGGATTAATAGGCGTGAGTCACCGTGCTCGGCCACCGTGTTGAATTTTTAAACAAATTATTTCATGGATTATATGAACTATGAACCACATGTAGTTTTAAGCAATAGATTCAATTTTTTGTAGCATAAGCTGTTATGTGAGCACTGTACACTAGATGCTTTGTACCCCTTGGCAACCTAGGTAGCAATTAATAGCCTCACTTTACAGATTAGAAAACCCAGTCCTGGAGATGAAGTAGCAGGTGCAGCACAAGTAGTTATAATCTCCGTGTATTCTATGTGCAAACTTTCTGTAATGTACTGGGCTTAGGAAAGGTATTCAGATACCCAGTAAATTCTCAGTTACTATTGGAACATTCCCGAAATTCTGACATGCTTCCAGATAAAGGAGGCTGTGGCCCTTGCTCTCCAGTTTCTTATTTCTGAGCTTATAAAGGCAGCTCAGTGTTTTACAGAGGATAATTTTTATGCCTTTAGATTTTCTTTCTCTTTCTTTTTTATTTTTCCCTTTTTTTCTTTGAGACAGAGTTTCCCTCTTGTTGCCCAGGCTCGAGTGCAATGGCACGATCTTGGCTCACTGCAACCTCCGCCTCCCAGGTGATCAAGCCATTCTCCTGCCTCAGCCTCCCAGGTAGCTGGTATTACAGTCATGTGCCACCATGCCCAGCTTAAAAAAAAAAAAATTGTATTTTTAATAGAGACTGTGTTTCTCCATGTTGGTCAGGCTGGTCTCAAACTCCCAACCTCAGGTGATCTGCCCGCCTCAGCCTCCCAAAGTGCTGGGATTACAGGTGTGAGCCACCACACCTGGCCTGCCTTTCGATTTCCTGCCAGCTGTTTATCTTAACTGCCTCCTAGGAAATAATCTCTTGTAGCATAGAGCACCAGTTTTTCTATAAACTGGTGGGACAAAAGATGTACAAATCTGTGTTTTAATATTATGACTTTGAGGCCGGGCGTGGTGGTTCACGCCTATAATCCCAGCACTTTGGGAGGCCGAGGTGGGTGGATCACTAGGTCAAGAGATCAAGGCCATCCTGGTCACCATGGTGAAACCCCGTCTCTACTAAAAATACAAAACTTAGCTGGGCATGGTGGCGCAGCCTGCAGTCCCAGCTACTCCAGAGGCTGAGGTAGGAGACTTGCTTGAACCCAGGAGGCGGAGGTTGCGGTGAGCCGAGATCGTGCCATTGCACTCCAGCCTGGGTAATAAGAGCGAAATTCCGTCTCAAAAAAAAAAAAATATTGTGACTTTGAAACTGATTTCTCTTCATGGAATTAATGCTTTCAGTGTTCCTGGTCTTGGTCTGTTACAGGCAACAGAACATTGAAGAAAACATGACAATAGCTATGGAAGAGGCTCCAGAAAGTTTTGGCCAAGTAGTGATGCTTTATATTAACTGCAAAGTGAACGGACATCCTGTGAAAGCCTTTGTTGACTCAGGTGATGTCTCTTTCTTTTGTTTCTTGGTCTCCTTTCCAACATCCTTACCTGACAGGGAGAAGGGGTGGCTCAAGCATCTGTTCAGATGGCTGTAGTATTTGTTTTGTGTTGTTTTTTGTTTTTGGTGACAGAGTCTTCCTTCCTCTGCTCCCAAGTAGCTGAGATTTCAAGTGCCCACCACCATGCATGGCTAAATTTTGTATCTTTAGTAGAGATGGGGTTTCACCATGTTGGTTAGACTGGTGTCGAACTCCTAACCTCACGTGATCCACCCGCCTCAGCCTCCTAAAATGCTCGGGTTACAAGCGTGAGCCACTGCACCTGGTCCAGATGGCTGTATAGCCTGACACTGTTTCACTTGCCGGGCATTCTGTTGGTATTAGATTTCTTTCTTTATTATTATTCCCTTTTTTTTTTTGAGACAGTCTTGCTCTGTCACCCAGGCTGGAGTGTAGTGGCACGATCTCGGCCCACTGTATCCTCCAGCTCCTGGGTTCAGGCAATTCTTCTGCTTTGGCCTCCTGAGTAGCTGAGACTATAGGCGCGCACCACCATGCCTGGGTGATTTTTTTGTATTTTTGGTAGAGACGGAGTTTCACCATATTGGCCAGGCTGTTCTCGAACTCCTGATCTTGTGATCCACCTCCCTTGGTCTGCCAAAGTGCTGGGATTATAAGCGTGAGCCACCGTGCCCAGCCTCTTTAATCATTTCTTAACCAGTTTTGTATTTTGTAGTGTCCCTTTATCTTCCTAACTCCATTTATCTAGCATCCTGAATTTCTTGGATATTTCTGTAAAAAATTGGGAATATATAGGTTTAGAAGAAGGGGCTATAAGAAGGAGCTATGTAGGGTATAGGTCCAACACATTTCAGCCTGGCCCATGCACCAGTACTTTACCAGGATTTGTAAGGAGTGTAAGACTATATGAGTATGGTTTTTACCCTTAAAGAATTTAACAACTGGGTAAGGAGACAGGTGTTCTTCTGCTTGAGGGTTCAGGTAATTCACATACTAGTAAAAAATTTTTAAAAAATTAAAAAATTCACATACTAGTTGGCACCTTTTCTGTCAGTAACAACCGTTTGCTTTTTAGTCAGCAAACTAATGCTATACCATACAGCATTTTGTGGATGTATGACTGAGTGGTCTCATACATCTTAATTCTGGGTTTCTTACTCAAAGCTGTAAGATAGTGAGATTCTAGAGTCGAAAAATTCCCTGCTCAAATAATATTTTCCTCTTTGGTTATGTATTTTTATATAAAAGGATAAAGGTATTTTCTTCCATTTGTTTATCTACAAATACTTGAGCACATGCTAGGTTTCATCTCTCTCTCCCCCGCCCCCCTTTTTTTTTTAAAGATGGAGTTTTCGGCCGGGCGCAGTGGCTCAAGCCTGTAATCCCAGCACTTTGGGAGGCCGAGGCGGTTGGATCACGAGGTCAGGAGATCGAGACCATCCTGGTCAACATGGTGAAACCCCGTCTCTACTAAAAAATATACAAAAAATTAGCTGGGCATGGTGGCGCATGCCTGTAATCCCAGCTACTCAGGAGGCTGAGGCAGGAGAATTACCTGAACCCAGGAGGTGGAGGTTGCGGTGAGCCGAGATCGCGCCATTGCACTCAAGCCTGGGTAACAAGAGCGAAACTCTGTCTCAAAAAAAAAAAAGATGGAGTTTTCACCCTGATGGCTAGGCTGGTCTTGAACTCCTGATCTCAGGTGATCCACCCACCTCGGCCTCCCAAAGTGCTAGGATTCCAGGTGTGAGCCACCGCACCTGGCTTTTGTTTGTTTTTAAAGAGACAGAGTCTCTGTGACGCAGGCTAGAGTGCAGTGGTGTGATCACCTCACTTCAGCCTCCAACTCATGGGCTCAAGTGATCTTCCATCCTCAGCCTCCCAAATAGCTGGAACTACAGGTGCATGCCACCACACCTGGCTGGTTTTTTACCTTTTTTTTTTTTTTTAGACAGATTCTTGCTCTGTTGCCTAGGCTGGAGTGCAGTGGCACGACGTTGGCTCACTGCAACCTCCTCCTCCCGGGTTCATGCGATTCTCCTGTCTCAGCCTCTTGAGTAGCTAGGACTACAGGCATGTGCCACCATGCCCAGCTAATTTTTTGTATTTTTAGTAGAGATGGGGTTTCACTGTGTTAGCCAGGATGGTCTTGATCTCCTGACCTCATGATCCACCTACCTAGGCCCCCAGAGTGCTGGGATTATAGGCGTGAGTTACTGCAGCCCACCAATATTTAAACATTTGCAGAGACAGGGTTCCCCTGTGTTGTGCAGGCTAATTGGGAACTCCTGGCATCAACTCTCAGTAAGAGTTTGTACCTTGAGGCTGGGTGTGGTGGCTCATGCCTATAATTCCAGCATTTTAGGAGGGCAAGATGGGCGAATTGCTTGAGTCCAGGAGTTTGAGACCAGCCTAGGCAACATGGTGAAACCTCGCCTCTACAAAAAAATAGAAAAATTAGCCAGGTATAGTGGCGTACCTGTAGTCCCAGCCACTGGGGAGGCTAAGGTGGGAGGATCACCTGAGCCTGTGGTAGGTGGGGGGATCAGAGTTGCAGTGAGCTATGATCGTGCCACTGTGCCCCAGCCTGGGCAAGTGAGACCCTGCCTCAGGAAAAAAAAAAAAAAAAAGAGTTTGTATCTTGAGATACAGGTATTCCTGAGAGAATTAAATCTACTGATTATTAAGTTTAAAAAATGTCTGTCGAGTGCTGTGTGTAGGGCCTTGTACTGCGTGCTTGGTGATATGACTTGGTGACTGGTGCCCCAGAGGACTCCTGTGTGAGATAAATACATAGGAGAAACTAATATAATATTCAGTGGTGTTTTTTTTTTTTTTTTTTTTGAGACAGAGTTTTGCTCTTGTTACCCAGGCTGGAGTGCAATGGCGCAATCTCTGCTCACTGCAACCTCCGCCTCCTGGGTTCAAGCAATTCTCCTGCCTCAGCCTCCCTAGTAGCTGGGACTACAGGTGTGTGCCACTGTACCCAGCTAATTTTTGTATTTTTAGTAGAGATGGGGTTTCACCATGTTGACCAGGATGGTCTCGATCTCTTGACTTCGTGATTCACCCGCCTCAGCCTCCCAAAGTGCTGGGATTATAGGCATGAGCCACTGCGCCTGGCCACTCAGCGTGTATTCATTCCTTATTGTGTGCCAAGCACCATGCTAGGTGCTTAATATAATCATCTTACTCAATTTTATTTCATCCTCAGAACATCTCTATGTACTTTGTTCTATAATTCTTATATTTTACCCATAAGGAAACTTATATAGAGAGAGGTTTTTACTCTCTACTCTGTATTTTACACATAAGGAAGCTTAGTCTTCCAGGTATACAGAGTTTGTCAGTGGTGGACTTTGAATTCAGCCCCAGGTCCCCCTTGATGTCACAAATCTTAACTGCTGTGCAAAAATCTGGTGAATGTTGGATGGCAATAGAGACCACATTCTCACTCTGACCGAGGTACTTAGGAGAGTTTTCCCCAAAGACGGCATTTGAGCTGAGGCTTTGGAAAATGTAGGAGAGCAGTGAAAGGGGCCCTTCTCATCCTGGGTTGCTTACTTTAATAACTTGCCTTTGTAAATTAAAGTGAAGAAGGAGGAAGAAAAGAGAGAACTGCCTTTCCAAATTCCTGTTTCCTTTGTTATTTCTGGGCCTTCTTGAATCTAACCTTCTCAAATGCCAAGAACTTTTATTGCTTATAAAGTGTAGGGTACCTGTGAGTAATATGAGCAGGTAGTTTTGGAATTGAGTGAGAGTCAAGGTCATTGCAAAAGAGCAGTCAGTTGGGCAGGAAGTGGGTCTTGAACTGGCCCCTGAAGCATTGGTGGAATTCAGCAAAACTGAAAGCAGGGGATGGAGCATTTTACAGGAGAGGCAAAATGATTGAGTGGCAAAGGGGACACATTCCTCCTGCTGAAGCAAAGGGTTTGGAGTAGTTAGAATGTAAGACCAGAAGGAAACAATGGGACCAGGATGGAGTGGGATCTGAAGCCATAGTGATGGCAATTTGAAACTAATCTCATAAGGAGTGGAAATCATTGAGGACTTTTAAGCAGATAAAGAAGTAAGTGATTTGAAAATGGTGATTTTGGCCCAGGACAGTGGCTCAAACCTGTAATCCCAGCACTTTGGGAGGCCAAGGCAGGCAGATCGCTTGAGGTCAGGAGTTCAAGGCCAGCGTGGCCAACATGGTGAAACCTCCATCTCTACTAAAAATACAAAAAATATTTCACCATGTTTACAGGCATGGTGGTGGTACGCCTATAATCCCAGCTACTTGGGAGGTTGAGGCAGGAGAATTCCTTGAACCCAGGAGGCAGAGGTTGCAGTGAGCCGAGATTGTGCCACTGTACTCCAGCCTGGGAAACAGAGCAAGACTCTGTCTCCAAAAAAAAAAAAACCTGATATTTTAGGACAACTAAAGGTAGACAGATCTGGAGAATTCCATACCCCTAAGGGTCAGAACAATTTCCTTGCTTTAAATTACATGCCTACAGAGTGGTTTGGAAGCCAGAAAAATTGTCCTCTTGCAAGGGAATGGCAGTGTGAGCTAGGCTGATCAGTATGGTTAGAAGAAAGCATCAGAACAGATGCCGTGGCTCATACCTGTAATCCCAGGACTTTGGGAGGCCAAGGCAGGTGGATCACGTGAGGTCAGGAGTTCAAGACCAGCCTGGCCAACATGGTGAGGCCCCGTCTCTACTAAAAATACAAAAATTAGCTGGGCGTTGTGGCCCATGCCTATAATTCCAGCTACTTGGAAGGCTGAGGCAGGAGAATCGCTTAAACCTGGGAGGTAGAAAGGTTGCAGTGAGCTGAGATTGCACTAAAACTCCATCTCAAAAAAAAAAAGAAGAAAGAGCATCAGAAATAGCAGAAATTACATAGACCTTTATCTACAGGCTTGAGAGAAGAAAGAAGACTAGGAGAAGAGTCTAAGTGAACAATGCTCAGGTTTTATGGCTGCAAGAAAATAATCCCATTGGCAAAGACAGAGAAATCCAAAGTGGGAATTAGTTGAGGAGAAAAGAGTTTTATGCCTGTTGGCTTTGACATAGAAATATCCTAAGTGCCCTCATATTTAAGGGGAAGAGGGTTAATTCTTGGAGCAGAGTATGGAAGTCTACTTCTAATACTTCTAAGTTTTTGGAAGACTGCATGATATATTTATAAATAGTAGACTGCAGTGTCCCAATGTGGGTTTTTTGTTTTGTTTTGTTTTTTATTTTACTTTTTGAGCAGGTGAAGTAATAGATAATGCACTTACTTGCTTACATCCCAACATAGTAAGAGATCTTACTATGTTGCCCAGGCTGGTTTCCCACTCCTTGGCTTAGGTGATCCTCCTGTCTTGGCCTCCTAGAGTATAATGACAGGCAGGAGCCACTACACCTAGCCCAAAGTTTGTTATAAAAACAACTTGCTAGGGCCAGGCACTGTGACTCACATCTGTAATCCCAACACTTTGGGAAGCTGAGGTGGGTGGATCATTTGAGGTACGGAGTTTGAGACCAGCCTGGCCAACATGGTGAAACCCTGTCTCTACTAAAAATACAAAAATTAGCTGGATATGGTGGCGCAAGCCTGTGATCCTAGCTACTCCAGAGACTGAGGCAGGAGAATCGCTTGAAGCCTAGAGATGCTTGGTAAAAATTGCAAAGTACTGCTTAACTTAGCATTGCCATCTATAAACACGGGTCATCATTGCTTTCTACTGGTAAAGTTTTAAAATGTCTTTTAATTATTACATCACTACAGAACATTCTTTCCCTTGATGTCAAATTTCACACAGTGTTTCAGATTACAGAGTGGAACTGAAAGTTGAATTAAGTGGGGCAAGACACTTGCTAGGTAGAAATGATTTTATAGAGACAAAAGCCTTGGAGTGGACCGATCCAAGATGGCCGATCGCTAACATCTCAGGACTGCAGCTCTCAGTGAAGGCACAGAGAACTAGACGACACCACACTTTCAGACAAATTCTGATCGCTCACGGAGCAGAAGATCCCCAGTGGAGGAATCACACGGGTCGCCAGCGCAACTTTGGTGGCTGGCGCAACGGTTCTGCCGGCACCTCAGCGCGGCAGCTCTCAGAGCAGAGTAAACAGGTTCGGAGGACCCACGAGGGCCCCCAGCACGACACCAGAGCCCGGCGCAGCGGCTGTGACGGCACCTCGGTGCAGAGTAAACAGGACCGGCTCCCCTTCTGACCGAGGTTTGGAGCCCCGGGAAGGCAGAGTCGCCCACTACGGACACAAGAAGGAAGCCAGACAAGAGAATCCTGGGCAGAAAAGCACCATCAGTTTTAACGCCTCTGCTCTGGCCCTGGGAACTAACAACCTGGACGCCCACTCAAGAGACCTAATCTGAAAGTTGGTAAGTTCAAAGACCACAGGAGGATAAACTTACAATGAAGGGAAGAAACCAGAGTAAAAAAGCTGAGAATACTCAAAGTCAGAACGCCTCTCCCTCTAAAGATGATCACAGTTCCACATCAACAATGGAACAAGGCTTGATGGAGAACGAGTGCATCCCAATGCTAGAATATCGCTTCAGGGAATGGATAATAACAAACTTCGGTGAGTTAAAATAACATGTTGTAGCCCAATGTAAAGAAACTAGGAACTTTGAAAAAAAGTTTGATGAAATCATATTGAGAATAGACAACTTAGAGAGGCGTATGAGTGAAATAATGGAACTGAAGAATACAATACAGGAACTCTGAGAAGTTTGCACAGTTTTAAACACTCGAATTGTTCAAGCAGAAGAAGGGATATCAGAGGTCAAAGTCCAACTTAATGAAATAAAACGCGAAGAAAAGATTAGAGAAAAAAGGATAAAAAGGAATGAGCAAAGTCTCCAAGAAATGTGGGACTATGTGAAAAGACCAAATTTACGTTTGATAGGTATACCTGAAAGCGACGGAGAGAATGAATCCAAGATGGAAAATACCCTTCAGGAAATTATTCAGGAAAATTTTCCTAAACTAGCAAAGCAGGTCAATATTCAACCCCAAGTAATACAGAGAACACCACAAAGATATTCCTCAAGAAGAGCAACCCCAAGGCACATAATCGTTAGATTCACTACGGCTGAAACGAAGGAGAAAATACTAAGGGTAGCCAGAGAGAAAGGTCAGGTTACCCACAAAGGCAAGTCAATCAGACTTACAGCAGATCTCTCAGCAGAAACTCTACAAGCCAGAAGAGAGTGGGGGCCAATATTCAACATCCTCAAAAAACAGAACCTTCAGCCCAGAATTTCATATCCAGCCAAACTAAGCTTCACAACTGAAGGAAAAATAAAATCTTTTATGAACAAGCAAGAACTCAGAGATTTTATTACCACCAGGCCTGCTTTACAAGAGCTTCTGAAAGAAGCATTACACACAGAAAGAAACAACCAGTATCAACCCTTCTAAAAATATACCAAAAAGTAAAGAGCACCAACATAAAGAAGAATTTACACCAACGAATGGATAAAACAGCCTGTTAACATCAAATGGCAGTAACCCTAAATTTAAATTGACTAAATCCCCCAATCAAAAGACACAGCCAAAAACCAATGGCATGTTACATCCAGACCTGTTTCACAGGCAAGGATACACAAAGACTCAAAACAAAGGGATGGAGAAAGATTTACCAACCAAATGGAGAACAAAAATAAATAAATAAAAAGCAGGAGTTGCAATTCTCGTATCGGATAAAATAGATTTTAAAGCAACAAAGATATAGTGGTAAAAGGATCAATGCAACAACAAGAGCTAACGATCCTAACACCCAGATACATAGAGACTTAAACACAATGAGACAGAAAATTAATAAGGATATCAAGGACTCAAACTCAGATCCGGAACAAGTAAACTTAATAAATATTTATAGAGCTCTCCACTTCAAATACACAAAATAAACATTCTAGTCAATTCCACATCACACGTACTCATAGGTTTAAATGAAACATTGATTGGCCATTATTAATGCCCTTTTTTTTTTAAGAATAAAGCAATATTTCCACTCACTCTCCCTCTTTCTCTTCCTCTTTCTTCCTCTCCTTTACTCATTTGTTTCTTCTTTCCTTCACTCAAAAAAAAAAAAAGAAATCAACTCGTAAACCTCTAGATCCAGGTCGGCAATGTCTCTCTCATTGCTTAAATTCCTTCCTTCCCTTCCCTCCCTCCCTCCCCCCTTCCTCCCTTCCTTCATCCCTCCCTTCCTCCAAAAAAAAAAAAAAAAAAAAAAAAGCCTTGGAGTGTACTTGCTTTCACCTTGTTATTAATTAGTGCTGTATTCTCATAAATGTGGATTTTGTTTTTATTGACTGATGTTTCTCTACCCCTGCAGGTGCCCAGATGACTATTATGAGCCAAGCTTGTGCCGAAAGGTGCAATATAATGAGACTGGTGGACCGTCGGTGGGCAGGGATTGCCAAAGGAGTGGGCACCCAGAAGATTATTGGAAGGGTACATCTAGGTGAGCAAAAGGCACTGGGGCTTGCTGTCTTTCTGTAGGCTATTTGTAGGTAGGGTAGTAGATTTTCAAGTTTTTAGAGGGCTTTTCGTTGTTCTTATTTTGTTGTTGTTGTTGTTGTTTTAAATTTCTTTTGTGTAGGTATGTCTGAGCCAGCAAGCTTAATTTCTAGACGTTTTAAATCCTGTGTTCTGTCAAAGTTATGTGTTTCTGCTGGTTCCAAAAAAACTAGTCTCCTCTACATTTGTATTTCCTGAAAAGATAATTTCTTTCCATTATTTTAGCTGATTTGTTTTGATACTTACCTCCATATTTCTAAATGGCATGTTTATCTTGCTGTTTACTCACATGACTGCGTAAATGTTTTTGAGAGCTGAGCCATCTAATTGAATGGCTAGTATTTTTTTTTTCTTTCATGGCTAGTATTATTTTCTCTTAAAATTAATAATTGTCCTGTTTTTCTCACTTGGTTTCTTGCATGGAATTCATCCCAGACATTTCCTAATTATGTAAATCTCCTTTAAATAGATTCAAGCACATCGGATAGTCTGTACATTTCATCCTATCAAAGACACTTCTTGAGCCTGGACTGGCAGTTTCAGGCCAGCTTCAGAGCTGTTGTTTTGGAATTTAACCTGAGTCCTGCAGACTCCTTTCTCTCCTGTGTTCAATTACATGAACCCCTTGTCTTCCTCTTTTCTATCTGCTCCTCAGTATTTTGGAGTGCATCTTCCAGTAACATCCTTAGAAGATATGCATGTGGTAAATTAAGACTAAGTATCAGACATGTCTTTTTTTCTCTATACATTCTAGTTGTCTGCCTAGGTTGGAAATCATTTTCCTTCACAATTTTGAGACATTGCCCCTTAACCTTTTCACTGTCAGTGTTGCTGTAGTGAGGCTGGATGCTATTCTGATTCTCGATCCTTTATGTGAAAGCTTTCTTTTTCTTTTCTTTCTTTCTTTTTTTTTTTTTTTTTTTTGTTGTTGTTGAGACAGCCTGTTCTGTTGCCCAAGCTGGAGTGCAGAGGCACAATTTCAGCTCACTGCAACCTCCACCTCCTAGGTTCGAGTGATTCTCCTGCCTCAGCCTCCCTGAGTAGCTGGGATCACAGGCATGTACCACCATGCCCAACTAATTTTTGTATTCTTACTAGAGACAGGGTTTTACCATATTGACCAGGACGATCTCTCTCAAACTCCTGGCCTCAAGTGATCCGCCCACCAGGCCTCCCAAAGTGCTGGGATTACAGGTGTGAGCCATCATGCCTGGCCTTGTTTTCCTTTTTTGAAGCTTGTAAGTCTTCCCTTTGACCCCGCAGTGTTTTGAACTTTCACAATGACATGCTTGGGTGTGGATCTCTTCTCATATACTGTACTGGGCATAGAAGCTCACATCCTTCGGTTCTGGGGACTTGCTCTTGAGTTATTTTTGCTATGATTTTCTACCCTCTGGAATGTCAGTTATTCAGATAGGACAGTCTATCCTGAACTTACCCTCTAGTTTTCTTCTCTTTTGTTTTTCTGTGGGATTTCTTCAACTTTGTCTTCCAAGCTTTGTGTTGCACTTTGTATTTGTTTACATTTTACTTTAGATGGTTTTCATAAATGCCTTGTGATCTTTGACATCTGCTCACATCTAAGAGTGGGTCACTGGCTGGGTGTGGTGGCTCACACCTACGATCCCAGTGCTTCAGAATGCTTATGTGGGACAATGGGTTGAGGCCAGGAGTTTGAGACCAGCTTGGCAACTTAGGGAAAACTCATCTCTATAAAAGAAATTTTTTTAGTAGTCGGGTGTGGTGGCAAGTGCCGATAGTCCCAGCTACTTGAGAGGCTAAGGCAAGAGTATTGCTTGAGCCAGGAAGATAGAAGCTGAGTGAGCTGTTTTCATACTAAAGCATTCCAGCTTGGGTGACAGCAAGATCTTGTTTCAAAAAAAGAGTGTGGGCCACCAAAAAGCTTATTTGGAAAATGACTCAGGTAGGCAGCCATGGCTCTTGTGGCCTTCATGTAGGGTAGGCAGGGAGAAAAAGGCTGGCATCTCAGTTGGATTTCATTTATCCCCCCACCCCCCACCCTGTTTTTAGTCAGGTACTTGTTCTGTCCCTGTCTCCCTCCATGATCATCTCTGTTAAGAGTGCCTCTATTTCACCCTCTCTAGAAAATAAGCCACTAGTCTGCTGCTGGGGTGAAGGGTCACCTGGCTGAGCAGAGTGCAGGAGGGACACCCCAGGGGCTAACTGTGCCTCTGCAGCCTTCCCACCAGGCTTGCTGCTTTGGGCCCATCTCTCCTCCCACCTGCAGAGGTATTTGTGACCAGTTCCTATGCCCCATAGGAGTTCTGTGATACCAGTTGGGCTGCTGCTCAGTTTTCCTCACTATTACCTGATTTTTAGCTCAAAAGTTTTGTTTCTGTGGTCTCTTCCATTATATTTGGCCTTAAAAATTTATGCCTTAGAGCTGGGCATGATGGCTCATGCCTATAATCCCAGTACTTTTGGGATGCTGAAGCGGGTGGATCACCTGAGGTCAGGAGTTTGAGACCAGCCTTGCCAATGGGATGAAATCCACTCCCTACAAAAAGTACAAAAAATTAGCTAGGCATGGTGGTGAGTGCCTATAATCCTAGCTACCTAGGAGGCTGAGGCAGGAGAATTGCTTAAACCTGGGAGGTGGAGGTTGCAGTAAGCTAAGATCATGCCATTTCACTGCAGCCTGGGCAACAAGAGCAAAACTCCATCTAAAAAAAAAAAAAAATGTATGCCTTAGACAAAACCCAAAAGTCTTTTTTGTAATGTTTTAGGAGTAAATGTAGAAATGTAAATAATGCATGTATTCAGTCCTCATCTCTAATCAGAATTGTTGTTTTTGTTTTCTTTCATTATCCATTTAATAGATGCTTATTATGGAGAACTTTAAAAGTATAGAAATGTAAGATGAAGGAAAAAAAATCCGTTAAATTGCTGTGGTAAGAATCAACCACCAGTATCATTTGAGTATATCTCCTTCTGGTCATTTTTCTATGCATTTTTTTTTTCTTACAAAAGGTTATTGTTTCATGTTTAAAATTTTATATTCCACACTAAGAAAAAGTGAAATAACGTTTTCCCAATGTCACTATAAATTTCATAAGCATTATTTAAATAAATGAATAAATATATAGCATTCTGTTGCAGGTTTAAGGGTCAGCTTCTGGGTTATGTTTCTTTTTTGAGACAGAATCTTGCTCTCTTATCCACACTGGAGTGCAGTGACACAATCTCAGCTCACTGCAACCTCTGCCTCCCAGGTTCAAGCAATTCTCCTGCCCCAGCCTCCCAAATAGCTGGGATTACAGGTGCCTGCTACCACACCTAGCTAATCTTTGTATTTTTGATAGAGATGGGGTTTAACCATGTTGCCCAGGCTGGTCTCTGAACTCCTGAGCTCAAGTGATTCACCTGACTCAGCCAACCAAAGTGCTGGGATTACAGGTGTGAGCCCAGTGCCCACACCTGGCTGGTTATGTTTCCTGGTACAACATGGCAGTATAGTTTTCTGTACATCTTGATTTTTTTCCCCTAGTAAAGATTTCTATAAGTGAAATTACTGAATCAAAGTTATGGATGCTTTAGGGTTCTTGATATATTGCTAAGTTGTACCAATCCAGTTTATTCACACTGAATGAATATTCATATTAATGTCCTATACTGTTAGCAATATTCGTTTTCCCTCTTACATTTTACAAAGAAGGCTGGGTGTGGTGGCTCATGCCTGAAATCCCAGCACTTTGAGAGGCTGAGGCGGGCAGATTACTTGAGCTCAGGAGTTCCAGACCAGCCGGGGCAACATAGCGAAACCCCATCTCTACAAAAAATACAAAAAAAATGGCCAGGTGCAGTGGCTCATGCCTGTAATCCCAGCACTTTGGGAGGCAGAGGTGGGCAGATCACCTGAGGTCGGGAGTTTGAGACCAGCCTGACAAAGTGGAGAAACCCCATCTCTACTAAAAATACAAAATTAGTTGGGCATGGTGGTGCATCCCTGTAATCCCAGCTACTGGGGAGGCTGAGGCAGGAGAATCACTTGAATCTGGGAGGCGGAGGTTGCAGTGAGCCGAGATCATGTCATTGCACTCTAGCCTGGGCAACAAGAAGGAAAGTCCATCTCAAAAAAAAAAAAAATTAGTTGGTCATCGTGAAGTGTGCCTGTAGTCCCAGCTACTCAGGAGGCTGAAGTGAGAGAGGATCACTTGAACCTGGGAGGCAAAGGTTGTAGTGAGCCGAGATCATGCCCCAGTGTACTTGAGCCTGGGCGGTAGAGCAATAAATTTTTTTACAAATAAAAAAGTGGTTTATTATTGTAAGTTACTTTTCTTTCATTGCAAATAATAGTTTTTCTATGCATTGGCTTTCTTTCTTTCTTTTGAAATAATGTATGTCTGTTTATTAGGGTCTTTGTGTTTCTCTTACTGATTTGTGTAGGATAAGGATAAACTACCTTATTCTCATACTTTCCTCAACACAGTAGGACTGAGAGTTGGGCAAAAATACCACAAACTGGTTGCTTCAGGGGCTGAGTTCTCAGATTTCTTATGGCTTTAAGTGAGACGATAATAGGAAGAGACAAAATAAGTACCAAGTTCTGTGTCCAACCTTGTGAATGTTACAACCGCAGCTATGATCTTCACGAAGAAACCCTCATAGCAATAGGGGAAATCTAAATAAAAGGAAAGCTTTATCATGGATCAGAAGACTCAGTATGTTTTCTCCCACATTCATCCACAGAGGCATTGAGATGCCATCAAAATCCTGGCAGTTTTTTGTGAGACTGGATATGCTCATTTTAAGTTCAGCATGGGCCCTGTATTGTGAGAATGGGCAAAATACTCTAGAATAACATCGTCTAATAGATATCAAAGGACTGTCTAGAAGATATTAGTAGAAACAAACCCATGATTATATGAACCTTGATAAATGAGAGGGAGTCTTAGAAAATTTTAGGAAATGTTGCTAGGACAAGAGGTATCCATGGGAAGAAATGAATTAGAAATTGGACCTCTACCCACACCACACAAAAGCAAATTCATGGTAGATTAAAGACCTAGTTGTGGGGTGGGAGGATTGCTTGAGCCTAGGAGTTCCAGACCAGCCTAGGCAACATAGCAGACCCTGTCAAAAAAAAAAAAAAAAAAAAAACCCAAAACCTAGATGTGGAAAGGAAAGTTAAAAATTTTAGGAAAAAAAAAATACAGTATCTGTGTAGGGAAGGATTTCTTTAAAAATAGGAAGGAAGTGATTTTATATATTCAGCCACGTTAAGATTAAGAACTTTTCATCTGCTGGGTGTGGTGGCTTACTCCTGTAATCCCAGCACTTTGGGAGGCCAAGGCAGGATGACTGCCTGAGGCCAGAAGTTTGAGACTAACCTGGTCAATATGGCAAGGCCCAATCTCTACAAAAAGTAAGTTTTTGGCTGGGTGCATTGGCTTACCCAGCCAAAATCCCAGCACTTTGGGAGGCCAAGGTGGGTGGATCACCTGAGGTCAGGAGTTCAAGACCAGCATGGCCAACATGGTGAATCCCTCTCTCTACTAAAATTACAAAAATTAGCTGGGCGTGGTGGCACACACTTGTAATCCCAGCTACTTGGGAGGTGTAGGTAGAGAATCAGAGAATCATTTGAACACAGGGGGCAGAGGTTGCAGTGAGCCAAGATCACGCCACAGGACTCCAGCCTGGGCAACAGAACAAGACTCTGTCTCAAAAAAAAAAAAAATGATTTTTTTTTTTTTTTTTTTAAGAACTTTTCAGGGCTGGGTACAGTGGCTCATACCTGTAACTCTAGCTCTTTTGGAGGCCAAAGAGGGAGGATCACTTCAGTCAGGAGTTGAAGACCAGCTTGGGCAATGTAGTAAGACTTCGTCTCTATTTTTAAAAAATGTCCGGGCTTGGTATCTCACACCTGTAATCCTAGCAGTTTGGGAGGCTGAGGTGGGCAGATCACCTGAGGTCAGGAGTTCAAGACTAGCCTGGCCAACATGGTAAAAACCCTGTCTCTACTAAAAATACAAAAATTAGTTGTGCATGGTGGCGCACACCTGTAATCCCAGCTACTTTGGAGGCTAAAACAGGAGAATCACTTGAATCCAGAGGCAGAGGTTGCAGTAAGCTGAGATCATGCCAGTGCACTCCAGCCTGGGCGACAGAGTGAGACTCTGTCTTGGGGTGGGAAAAAAAGTAGTAATTAAAAGAACTTTCTGTTAAAAGACATCACAAAGTGAACACAAATTAGGAAAGAACTTTAGGAACACATATAACTAATAAAGGATTCATATTCAGGATATAGACCCATGTGTATATCTTGCAACTCAGACAATATAAAACTTTACAGAGGCCAGGCACAGTAGCTCACACCTGTAATCCCAGCATTTTGGGAGGCCAAGGCAGAAGGATCATGAGGTCAGGAGACCAAGACCATCCTGACAATGGTGAAACACCCTATGTCTACTAAAGATACAAAAAATTAGCCAGGTGTGGTGGTGGGCGCCTGCAATCCCAGCTACTCAGGAGGCTGAGGCAAGAGAATTGCTTAAACCCGGGATGTGGAGATTGCAGTGAGCTGAGATTTCACCACTGCACTCCAGGGAGACTCTGTCAATCAATCATTCAATCAATCAATAAAAATTTACAGGAATTGCCGGGTGCCATAGCTCGAAACCAACCTGGCCAACATGGCAATACTCCATTTCGCTAAGAAGACAAAAATTAGTTGAGCATTGTAGTGCACACCTGTAGTCCCAGCTACTCTGGAGACTGAGGCATGATAACTTCTTGAACCTGGGAGGCAGAGGTTGCAGTGAGATGAGATCATGCCACTGTACTCCAGCCTGGGCGACAGGAGTAAGACTCCTCTATCTCAAAAAATTTTTTTTTGTTTTTACAGAACCACTTTGACACTTGAGGAAATCCAGATGGTTAATAAATATATGAAAATTTTCTGCCAGGCACGGTGGCTCGTGCCTATAATCGCAGCACTTTGGGAGGCCAAGGTGAGCAGATCTCTTGAGGTCAGGAATTCAAGACCAGCCTGGCCAACATGGTGAAACCCTGTCTCTGCTAAAAATACAAAAATTAGCTTGACATGGTGGTAGGTGTCTGTAAACTCAGCTACTCGGGAGACCAAGGCAGGGAAATCTCTCCTGAACCCTGGAGGAGGAGGTTGCAGTGAGCTGAGATGGTGCCACTGCACTCCAGCCTGGATGACAGAGCAAGACTTTGTCTCAAAAAAAAAAAAAAAAATTTGCTTAACTTCATTGTTAATCAGGAAAATACAAAATTACTAGCCCGGTTAGCAAATATTTAAAAATCTAATATTAAGCCTTCGTTGACTTTTTTTTTTTTTTTCTGAGATGACCCAGTCTTGGCTCACTGCAACCTCCACCTCCTGTGTTCAAGCGATTCTCCTGCCTCAGCCTTCGAAGTAGCTGGGATTATTGGCACCCACCACCACACCCAGCTGATTTTTGTATTTTTAGTAAAGATGGGGTTTCACCATGTTGGTCAGGCTGGTCTCAAACCCCTGACCTCGTGATCCGCCAGCCTTGGCCTCCCAAAGAGTGCTGGGATTACCGACGTGAGCCAATATGCCCTTTTTTTTTTGAAATGGAGTTTTGCCCAGGCTCTAATGTAGTGACACAGTCTCAGCTCACTGTAACCTCCACTTCCCAGGTTCAAGCGATTCTCCTGCCTCAGCCTCTTAAGTAAGTGGGATTATAGGCATGCACCACCACACCTGGCTAATTTTTATATTTTTAGTAGAGACAGGGTTTCACCGTGTTGGCCAGGCTGTTCTCAAACTCCTGACCTCAGGTGATCTGTCTACCTTGTCCTCCCAAAGTGCTGAGATTACAGGCGTGAGCCACTATGCCTGGCCTTTGCTGGCTTTGAAATTGATCTTACCTGTTTGCATGCTTTGCCTTAATTGCTTGCAGTAAGCAAGGCACAGAATGACAAGTACATTTTCAGTGCTTGCCTTGGGCTTTTGAAGTACATAACAGTAACCTTTTCTCTTCATGTGCTTTAGCTCAGGTTCAGATTGAAGGAGATTTTTTGGCATGTTCCTTCTCTATACTTGAGGAACAGCCCATGGACATGCTTCTGGGACTGGACATGCTTAAACGGCATCAGGTAATTAAGAGCTTCACTTTTTTTTTTTTTTTTTGCATCTGCTTTTTGTAATATGGTTATTGTTATATTACATTGTTTATTGCTTATGTATACTGGAAAACTAAGAAATACGACTTTTCAAACCTTGAAGTGTCCTTAAATTGTGTTGTTATACAAAGGTTGAAATGATGTATCAGTATAGATAGAATTTGTTTTTGTGAAAACTCTCTAAATCTGTTGAATCTTGACAAATGTTTTGAGCTTGTAAGGGACAATTCGGTTCCTCGTATAATTTTAAGGTTCTGATTATATCCTGATTAGTAGTAGTTTTTTTGATGATTGACTAAAAGTGTCAGTCAAGTGAGTTTTTAGTATTTTCCGATGCTGATCAAATAGTACTTGGGAAGAAGACCTTCAAGGTTAAGGAAGGTATATGTATGTCGTTGGGAGTGAAAGTGTTTGTTTAGTACAGGGAGCATAATTAATATATTAATTTGTGTTGATATTTATCTTTCTACTCTAAAGCACAATAATTTAAGGTATACTGCTGTCATTGAAGAAGCAGTCCACTCGCTAACTAGACAAGATTGGGCATGTTCAGGGCAGTATGGCTATAGATCCCACTTGCTACTTCACATTTTTCACAGTAGAATTTTGTGTCTAGTCAAACTACCCGCTACAATGAAGCATGCCTGTAATCCCAGCGTTTTGGGAGGCTAAGGAGGGTGGATTGCTTGAGGCCAGAGTGAGTTTGAGACCAGTCTGGGTGACTTAGTGAGACCCTGTCTCTACAAAAAATACAGAAATTAGCTAGGATGGTGGTACATTAGCTACTTTGCAAGGCTGAGGCAGGAGGATCCCTTGAGACCACGGTGCAGTGAGTCAGGATTGTGCCGCTACACTTCAGCCTGGGGAACAGCAAAACCCCATCTCAAAAAAGAAACTTGAGTTTAAAACAATTGAAAATACAGGTAATCAATATTTTTATTTCACTATATTTGAATATTTCTGTAAAAGTGGATGCATCATATTGATAATAAGACATAGCATTCTACATAGAACAAATAAATGAATGTATGTGTCAATAAAACCTTCTCACTGCCTTTCCTTATTTTTTAGTCATGATATGGACCAGCAGTCTCCAATTTTATAGATATAAATCATATATGTTCACAACTGTCTATTAAGTAGTTATAAAATACACAAAAAAAGAAGTTAGCATTAGTATGGAGTAAAGAATACTGTGGGGATTGCCTTGCACATCCGCCACTTGAGACGATTGGTGGAGTTTAATATAAGCTGTACTTGATATAATAAGCAAACGACAGGACTGTATAAATAGTACGATCTCAGGTTTTTATTTTTTATTTTTTTTGAGACGGAGTTTCGCTCTGGTTACCCAGGCTGGAGTGAAATGGCGCGATCTCTGCTCACCACAACCTCCGCCTCCTGGGTTCAGGCAATTCTCCTGCCTCAGCCTCCTGAGCAGCTCTTATAAAACTGAGATCGGCCAGAGTGCAGTGGTGCGATTACAGGCACGCACCACCACGTCCAGCTAATTTTTTGTATTTTTAGTAGAGACAGGGTTTCACCATGTTGACCAGGATGGTCTCGATCTCATGACCTCGTGATCCACCCACCTCGGCCTCCAAAAGTGCTGGGATTACAGGCTTGAGCCACCGCGCCCGGCCGATCTCAGTTTTATGAGAAAAGTTGTTTGTGTGTTCCTGAAAGGTGGAGCTTCTAATTATGCTTGGCATTGTTCCAATTTTTGCAATAAGCATGTATTATATTTAGAATCAGAATGAGCAAATATTATTTTAAAGACAAATAAATGTAAACTGTATTCTATTAGGTATATGTATGTCATTGGATATACAACATACGACATTTAAAGGATATATAAAGATATATTCTATATGACATATCTTTATATAACTTTTATATAACTTTGTATAACTAAAAGCTATAACTTTTGCATATTAAAAAATATCTAGCCTGGATGCAGTGGCTCATTCCTGTAATCCCCACACTTTGGGAGGCCAAGGCAAGAGGATCACTGAAGTCCAGGAATTCAAGACCAGCCTGGGCAACATGCAAGCCACTTCTCTACAAGAAATAAAAAATCAACCAGGTGTGGTGGTATGCACGTTTGTAGTCCTAGCTACTCAGGTTGCTCAGGAGGAAGGATCACTTGAGCCTGGGAGGTTGAGGCTGCAGTGAGCTGTGATCATGCCACTGCACAGCCTGGGTGACAGAGTAAGACCTTGTCTCAAAAAATAAAATAAAAATCTAAACAGACAATATCACCCAGGTTAAAGTTTAAATACTTTTAGATTAAGTCGTTTTTGTAAATGTCTCTGTCCCTATCAGTGTTCTTTGTAAATGGAAGGTTTTTTTGAGACAGTCTCACTTTCCCACCCAGGCTGCCAGGCCGGAGTGCAGTGGTGCGATCTCAGCTCACTGCAAGCCATGCCTCCACGATTCAAGCGAGTCCTCTGCCTCAGCCTCCCAAGTAGCTGAGATACAGGTGCCTGCTACCACGCCTGGCTAATTTTTGTATTTTCAGTAGAGATGGGGTTTTACCATGTTGGCCAGGCTGGTCTGGAATTCCTCACCTCAGGTGATTCACCCGCCTTGGCCTTCCAAAGTCCTGAGATTACAGGCATGAGCCACTGCGCCAGGCCATTTGTGAGTGGAGTTTTAAATTAAGGATCATAATTTCTCTGCATGGTACTTTATCTGCTATTATCATCCTTCAATTTTTTTCTTCTAAGTGTTCCATTGACTTGAAGAAAAATGTACTCGTGATCGGCACCACAGGCTCCCAGACTACCTTTCTTCCTGAGGGAGAGCTACCAGAGTGCGCCCGGTTGGCATATGGGGCCGGACGAGAGGATGTGCGGCCAGAGGAGATTGCAGACCAAGAATTAGCAGAAGCCCTTCAAAAATCAGCAGAGGATGCAGGTATTTAGAATGACTGAACTCTTCAATACTTATTATTGATGGATGAGCCAGGGAAGTTCGGACTTCAGAAGGGGCAGGAACCTTACTGGTTTTTAATCAGTCTCGTGGTCCAATAGCAGATGTGTTCATTGTGTGTCTTCTTAACCTCCTCCTTTATTGTTTGTCTTCTTAAACCTCCTCCTTTTTTAAGGGGGTGGTGGGGGAGACATTGTCTCACTCTGTCACCCAGGTTGGGGTGCAGTTTGCTGTGTGACATGATTGTAGTTCACTGCACCTTCGACTTACTGGGCTCAAGCAATCCTCTCACCTTAGCCTCCTGAGTAGCTGAAACTACACCTGGCTAACTTTTTTATTTTTAGTAGAGATGGAGTCTTGCTGTGTTTCCCAGGCTGTTCTCCAATTCCTAGGCTGAAGCAATCCTCCTGCTTTGGCTTCCCAAAGTGCTGCGATTATAGGTGTGAGCCACCATATCCAAACCCATCTCTTATTACAATAATGAAAAATTCTGTATTCTGACCAGACGTGGTGGCTCGCCTGTAATCTCAGTGCTTTGGGAGGCTGAGGTGAGTGGATCACCTGAGATAAGGAGTTTGAGACCAGCCTGACCAACATGGTGAAACCCCATCTACTAAAAATATAAAAATTAATAGGGTGTGGTGGCACACCCCTATAATCCGAGCTACTTGGGAGGCTGAGGCAGGATAATCACTTGAACCTGGGAGGCAGAGGGTGCAGTGAGCCAAGATAGTGCCACTGCACTCCAGCCTGGGCAACAGAGTGAGACTGTCTCATAAAAAAAGAAAAATTCTGTAGTTTAGTATTTTAACAGATTAAGAACAGCTCAATCCGTTGCCGTGTTTGAGCTAGACTGGGGAGTTATTTTGCATAGATAGATTTTAGAAGCTTCGTAAATCTTTTTAGGAATTTTTTTTTTTTGGTATGTTTTTATTTTTGCGATTTTCCTCAAGAAAATTATGACAGTAAGCAGATACTAACTTTTGAGTCCAACAGTATTTCCCTGATGATTTGTTTCCTTTTCTTAGGCCTGTTTTATTTATATTATATTTTATGTCATTACATTTCACTTTTCTGTAGATAGGGTCTTGCATTTTTGCCCCAGCTGGAGGGCAGTGGCACAGCCATGGCCCACCGCAGCCTCAGTCTCACAGTCTCACAGGCTCAAGTGGATCCTCTTGCCTCAATCTCCCAAAGTACTAGGATTACAGGCACGAGCCACCCATGCCTCTTAGGCCTGTTTATTTTGAAAGATACCATTGCTACTGTGTGTAAGCAGCCCTAACTTTTAAAGTATTTATTGCAAGTGCTGCCACCAAAGATAGAAGAACCAACAATAAGAAGTATAAATTTTTATTTACTTAATTTATTTTTGCTTTTTTTGTTGGTTGGTTTTGTTTTCTTGAGATGGAGTCTTGCCCTGTTGCCCAAGCTGGGGTGCAATGGCGCAGTCTTGGCTCACTACAACATCCGCCTCTCCGGTTCAAGCAATTCTCCTGTCTCAGCCTCCCGAGTAGCTGGGACTGGGACTACAGGCGGCTGCCACCACACCTGCCTAATTTTTTTTTTCTTTTTTTTTTTTTTTGAGACAGAGTCTTGCCCTGTTGCCCAAGCTAGAGTGCAATGATGCTGTCTTGCATCACTGCAACCTCCACCTCCTGGGTTCAAGCGATTCTCTTGCCTCAGCCTCCCAAGTAGCTGGGATTACAGGCGTACACCACCACACCTGGCTAATTTTTTGTGGGGTTTTTTTTCTTTTTTTTTGATAAAAAATAAAAGGATTTTTTTTAATATTTACTTTTTTCATATAAAAAGTATTTTTTTTCTTTATAAAGATGGGGTTTCACCACGTTGGCTAGACTGGTCTTGAACTCCTGACCTCAGGTGATCCACCCACCTCGGCCTCCCAAAGTGCTGGGATTATAGGCGTGAGCCACCACATCTGGCTAATTTTTTGTGTCTTTAGTAGAGATAGGGTTTCACCATGTTGGCCAGGCTGGTCTTGAACACCTGACCCTCATGATTCACCTGCCTCGGCCTCCCAAAGTGCTGGGATTACAGGGGTGAGCCACCACACCTGGCCTAAATTTTTTTTTTTTTTTTTGAGACATCGTCTCATTCTGTCACCCAGGCTTATCTTCCCATCTCAGCCTCCTGAGTAGTTACGTTACAGATGCCCACAACCATGTCCATAATTTCTGTATTTTTTGCAGAGATGAAGTTTTGCCGTGTTTCCCAGGCTGGTCTTGAACTCCTGGGCTCAAGCAATCTACCCACCTCAGCCTCTCAAAATGACAGGATTATAGGAGTGAGCCACTGTGCCTAACCAGCATAACTGAATATTATTGAAAATAAAGTGTTTTGGTCTGAGATTACAGTAGTGTCATCAGGCCCTATTACCACTGTATTTATTGAAATCATGCTACCTAATACTTTTTTCTAAGTCTCAATTATTTAGCTTGTTTAAATGTAATGGTGGAGCCAAGTTTTCTGGGTAAAATGTGGTAACACAGTTTTGCTGAAATCCCCCATTTATTATAAAACAGTGACTCTGGGATGTATTTTCTAGAAATTGAATAGAATTTACTTTTGAGTTTGGGTTATTGTACAGTCTTGTGCTGGAATTATTCATTAGTATGACTAATATCACACATTGCTTTTTCTAGTACAGTAAAATATTAGAGTTACAAGTTTAGGGAATAGCTTTATTCTAAAGACAAAAGTTATAAGAATTTTAAAAGTAACCAGCCAGCTTTTGCCACTGTTTTATTGGAGAACATTCAGATGTCTATCTATCATTGAGCTTTAGAATGGATGTGGGTGGCAGATGGAGTTTTCTAAGTTGGCTTTGATCAGAAACAGCTCCATCACCTTTTGGCTCAGTTTTTTATATAAAGTACATTTTGAGTCAGGGTGTAGTGGTTCATGCCTGTGATCTCAGCACTTTGGTAGGCCAAGGCAGGAGAATCACTTGAGCCCAGGAGTTTGAAACCAGGCTGAGTAACATAGTGAGACTCTGTCTCTACAAGCAATTAAAAAAAAATTAGCCAGGCATGATTGTGCAGCAGTAGTTTCAGCTGCTTGAGAGGCTGAGGTGTGAGATTCACCTGAGCCCAGGAGGTCAGGGCTGCAGTGAGCCATGATTGCTCCACTGCGCTCCAGTCAGGGTTACAGAGCAAGACCCTGTGTCCAAAAAAAAAGGATTGAATCCATCACTTTTTGGCTCAAGTTTTTATATTAAGTACGGTTTTGGTTGAGACTTAAGTATTTTGTAGGAAGGGGAAAACTTTGAACAACCAGACAAGAGACTAACTTAATAATTATAATCTTACCAGCAAGGTAGGCATGAATGAGTTTGACATATGTACTTAGAAGGTTTTGCATTTGGGGTGTAACTTACCATCTTAGTTGTGATACTGTGTGTTAATAATGAGGATTATTATCATTTTTTGAAATGTCTTTTTTTTCTTTTAACCTCCACAGTCTTGGTGCTATTATTTAAAAAACATTAGCTGATGACAGCAGTGCTTTCTAACCTACTAATAACAATTAGCCTTTTTTGGTTAATTACTTTATTTTAATAAAAGTTTGGCAGATCAAAATAGATACACATGTTTTCAGGCCTAGTGAAGGGGATGTACCAACTTTAAAGAATTAAAAAGAAATGTCTTTTTTACCTAAATAACCTTTCGTTGCTTAGATGTATGGCTTATGCTAATTTCTTTTTTTTGAGACCAAGTCTTGCTGTCACCCAGGCTGGAGTGCAGTGGTGTGATCTCAGCTCACTGCAACCTCTGCCTCCCAGTTTCAAGCAATTCTCCTGCCGCAGCCTCCCAAGTAGCTGGGATTACAGGCATCCGCCACCACACCCAGCTAAGTTTTTTGTATTTTTAGTAGAGACAGGGTTTCACCATGTTGGCCAGGCTGGTCTCAAACTCCTGACCTCATGATCCACCCGCCTCAGCCTCCCAAACTGCAGAGATTACAGGCATGAGCAACCGCGCCTGGCCTAATATCTTTATCTTTTACATTAACTGAAAAAAATTTACAGTAGGAACCCTAACTGATACATTGCCTATTAAAAAACTTTTTTTTTTTAATTTTTATTTATTTATTTACTTATTTTTTGAGATGGAGTCTCGCTCTGTTGCCAGGCTGGAGTGCAGTAGCACGATCTCTGCTCACTGCAGCATCCACCTCCCAGGTTCAAGCAATTCTCCTGCCTCAGCTTCCCAAGTAGCTGGGACTACAGGCATCTGCCAACATGCCCAGCTAATTTTTGTATTTTTAGTAGAGACGGGGTTTTACCATGTTGGCAGGATGGTCTCGATCTCTTGACCTCGTGATCCACTGGCCTTGGCCTCCCAAAGTGTTGGAATTACAGGCGTGAGCCACCACTCCCGGCCCTAATTTCTTTTTAATAGTAGGGATGGAGTCTCACTATGTGGCCCCAGCTGGTTCCAAACTCCTGATCCCAAGTGATCCTTCCTGGACCTCCCAAAGTGTTGGGATTGCAGGCCACAGTCAGTGTGCCCAGCCTGATGTGTTATTTAAAAACTGATTAAAAGATAAAGAAGATAAACTAAAACTAGGATAGAATTTAAGATGGTTTGTTTCTCTCTAAAATTGAATCTCAACTGAGAAAGAACTTTGGAAAGGAACTGTTAGATTTGTTCACTCATGTTTACTCCATAAGAAGATTTTTTTTGTCCTGTAATTCCATCAGATGGATCTACTTTCTTCACCTGTCTCACGTTTGCCCATGAATTCTCTGTGTGTAGATGTGTAAAATTAATTTATTTCCAAGATCTGTTAAAAATGTGTTGAAATTAACACATTGCTGTGTGTATTGTGAGAGAATTAAAGCAACCAACAAATATTTTGGATGTCTAAACTACAGAAACATATCTCAACTTTGAATCTACCAGTTCCTGATTTTAAAGATGGCAGAAGAACAGAGACTATAACCCTGCATGCTGTGTGGTTTGCATTGTTAACCCAAGTTTGCTTGTCTGTTTCCTAATTCACACAGAGCGTCAGAAGCCATGATGCATGTAGTGTGTTTGTACTGCAGCTGGAGTGGGCCCCCAGACCAGGTATTTATAGACACCATGTTAAGCCTTCCATCCAGTTGTCATCTGTGATCTGAAAGTCTGTATCTGCAGCAGTTTGGGAAGTTAGCATCTGCCATTCACCATTTCATCTAGTTCAGTCTGGTTACAAGTAGCCTATATTGCATTTGTCTTTTGGCATGCATAGATGCATATGTAACATAAATTCCTGTTTAAAAGTTTATTTATTATTAGAACCATCCAAGAAAGAAAAAATCCCAGTAAAAGCAGTATCTTTTATACCTACCACATCTTGGCTACTACAAATATCACATCAAGAATGTTGGCATCACAACACTTTGTTGTTGGAGATAACTATGCCTTTGTGGGTTTCCTAAGTCCCTTTCCTCTGAAAAATTGAAAGCTGTTTTTTTACATTACTGCACAAAACTACCTGGAGTTACAGAGGGTTAGAAATTTTAATTCTTTTGAAGAAGAAATGGAAACTTAGTCAGGGGTGACTGTGAACATCAGGAGCTAAGGCTTTGCTTTTCCTTCTGTCCCTGGCCTGACAGATTTTCAGGAAGCACCCTGCTTTCATTTTCTCTGATATAAATATGGTAAACATCAACCTGAGTACATTGGTTGACTTACCAAGGGGATGAAAGATGGTCTTTTAAACCATCAGCATAGGACTTTATAGCAAACTGGTTGGAATTAGATACGTAACATTTAATTTGTCTTCTTTCTTTCCTTTTTCTTTTTCTTGTAACAATAGGTTTAAAGCAGGCATAGTTTAATTATTCTTAATATCTACTGTCCTCATCCTCTTCTCCTATCATTCTGTAAACTGACCCAGTCCTCCCCTACATTTAGGACTTAGGCCAGTGATACTGACCTTCTCAGTTACAGAAGGACTATATGTTACTTTCTTAGTGAGTACAAAATGTTCACCTTGACCTCACTTGTTTATAACTAACACAAGAATACTAGAAAGCCCTTACCATACCTCCCTCTGTTGCTTACATGGATATTTCACTACAGTGCATTGTTTCTGTTAACATTAGTTCCAAATTTAGCCTCTTCCAGAGTCAGCCTTAAGGACTGATAAATAAAACTAATAACCGTTAGACATCTGGTAGTATGAAAATAAAATTTAAAAAACTAATAACTGGTCTGGACACTAATGGATATAGCTTAAACTGAGATAAGTGCATATTTCCTTCTTACCCCTATAGTATAAGAAAGGTAACGTTGTTTCATAGGAAGTCAATAGCTTCCTGAAACAGTGCTTCCTCCTCTCATGCTGCTAACCAGTTGTTTATGAGAATGATTTAAAGCCATTTGAATATAACTGCATTGCTTCTTTTTAAGATCAAGCCCCCTTTTTGGATATTAATGTTTAGTACTGAGCATTTGAGTTGCATCTGCCCTAATAATAGATTGTATTTCGAAGTCTTTTTTTTTTTTTTTTTTTTTGAGACGGAGTTTTGCTCTTGTTGCCCAAGCTGGAGTACAATGGCGTGATCTTAGCTCACCACAACCTCCGCCTCCCAGGTTCAAGCAGTTCTCCTGTCTCAGCCTCCCAAGTAGCTGGGATTACAGGCATGCACCACCTCGCCTGACTAATTTTGTATTTTTAGTAGATACAGGGTTTCTCCATGTTGGTCAGGCTGGTCTCGAGCTCCTGGCCTCAAGTGATCCTCCTGCCTCAGCCTCCTAAAGTGCTGGCTAAGATTACAGGCATGAGCTACCGTGCCCAGCCTAAAGCCATTTTTCTATACTGGTCTTTTGATTTTTATTTATTATTATTTTATTTTGATGAAGTCTCACTCTGTCACCCAGGCTGGAGTACAGTGGTGCAATCTCAGCTCACTGCAACCTCTCCCTCGTGGGTTTAAGTGATTCTCCCACCTCAGCCTCCTAAGTATTTGGGATTACAGGCACCCGCCACCACACCCAGCTAATTTCTGTATTTTTAGTAAAGATGGGGTTTCACCATGTTGGCCAGGCTGGTCTCGAACTCCTGACCTCAAGTGATCACCTGCTTTAGCCTTCCAAAGTGCTGGGATTACGGGTGTGAGCCACTGCCCCGGGCCCCTTTTGATTTTTAATAAAGATCTTAAAATTACATGCATAGAGGTCAATTTTTAACTGGATCAATGGCAAAAGAAGAGTTAGAACTGATGTTTAGTGATCCCGTTATGATGCTTACACTGAGCCAGTGTTTTAAGACTGCCATCTTGTTTGTGTGGTCATGAAGTGGCAATCTAAATAGTCATTGCCTGTTGAAAAACTATTTATGCACGACTCCCTCCACATTCTTCTTTCCTTAAAATACTAAGTATTCTTAACATAGCTGCACGCTATTAATGTAATAAAAATAATTTATAAGCCTTTCAAGTTTAAAGTTGTATTATTTGGTAGGATGATGATTGTGATCTGCTCATCGTTAGTTTACTTTTGTTCTCTGAGTTAGATGCTCACCGAGTTTTACCATGATTTTGGGGAAGCTTGGCTAGAAATAAAATAGAAATTTGCTTCTCTGTCCCTAAGCATTACGTAATTTCTTACTTCTCTTTATAATTCCCTCTCTGTCCAAGTATACCTGGTTTTAGACTTCTCATTTGTAACCTCAGTGTTCACATTTGAAACAAGAAAAGTGCATTAGCATGAGAATCATTATGGTGCGAAGATTCTCAAAATTTGTAATGTCCTTAAGAATCACCCAAGGAGCTTACTGAATATGCACATTCCGGCCGGGAGCGGTGGCTCACGCCTGTAATCCCAGCACTTTGGGAGGCCGAGGTGGGTGGATCACAAGGTTAGGAGTTTAAGACCAGCGTGACCAATATGGCAAAACTCTGTCTCTACTACCAATACAAAATTAGCCGGGCGTGGTGGCACATGTCTGTATTTTCAGCTACTTGGGAGGCTGAGGCAGGAGAATCACTTGAACCCGGGAGGCAGAAGTTGTGGTGAGCCGAGATCGCACTATTGCACTCCAGCCTGGACAACAGAGGGAGACTCCATCTCAAAAATAAAAAGTAGAAAACAAAAATGCAGATTCCTGGATTTACTCCCAAGTATGGTACCCTAGAGTCTATATACTTCACAAGCATCCCAGGTGGTTTTAAGACAAGTGTTTAAAAAAATACCGTTGCAGAAACTATTTTAGACTTGACTAGAGCAGGGAATAAAGAAATGTAAATGTCCTTCAGTTCTGAGCACTCACCCAGCCATTATGTGAGGCGTATTGATGGTACTTTATCATGTTGAATTTATAGTATCCATATTTTATTAAGAACATATCTAACTCTTATTCTAATGCTGTGATGTTAAATTGCCTATTACAATGAGAAAATCATTTTAAAATGATTCTATTTGTATAAGAGTTTGAGGACCTTTGTTTAGATTTGTATCCTCTGATAATTTAGTGTCATTAGTTACCTGCTAATTAATCTTTTTCCCTTCCCCTGTGTTCCATATAGAGAAAAGCGGTAAAGAATCTACCTCACTGGGAATGTCGTCATCATTACCAACTTCAGATGGGTTTAGCCATCCAGCCCATTCTTCAGGACAGAGTCCTGAGATTGGTAATCCTACGAGTCTTGCTCGCTCTGTCTCTGCTTCAGTCTGCCCTATCAAGCCCAGTGACCCAGATAGCATTGAACCTAAAGCTGTGAAAGCTTTGAAGGCTTCAGCTAAATTCCAGATAAACTCTAAAAAGAAAGAACATCTTTCTTTACAAGATCTTTCTGATCATGCTTCTTCAGCAGACCATGCTCCAACAGACCAGAGTCCAGCTATGCCTTTGCAGAATTCATCTGAAGAAACAACTGTTGCAGGTAATCTGGAGAAATTTGTTGAAAGAAGCACCCAGGGCCTCAAATTTCATCTCCGTACAAGACAGGAAGCTAGTTTATCTGTCACAACTACTAGGATGCATGAACCACAGATGTTTCTAGGTGAAAAGGATTGGCATCCAGAAAATCAGAACCTGAGTCAAGTGAGTGGCCTTCAGCAGCATGAAGAACCAGGGAATGAACAGTATGAGGTTGCACAACAAAACACTTTACGTGACCGAGAATATCTTCGTAACAGAGGGGACCATGAACTTCCTGAAGAAAGGCAACAGAATCAACACAAAATTGTTGATTTGAAAGCTATGATGAAAGGAAATGGGCTCCCACAGAATGTGGATCCTCCAAGTACGAAGAAAAGTATTCCACCTTCAGGATGCAGTGGCTGCTCAAATTCAGAAACACTTATGGAAATAGATGTAGCTGAACAGTCCCTAGTTACTGTGCTTAATTCAACAGGCAGGCAGAATGCCAGTGTCAAGAACATTGGTGCGTTGGATCTCACTTTAGATAATCCCTTGATGGAAGTAGAAACATCCAAATGTAACCCTTCATCCGAAATTTTGAATGATTCCATTTCCACTCAGGATTTACAGCCCGCAGAAACTAATGTTGAAATATCCGGAACAAATAAAGACTATGGCCATTACTCCTCCTCTCCAAGTCTCTGTGGCGGTTGTCAGCCCTCTATGGAGTCAGCAGAAGAATCTTGTTCATCTGTAACAGCAGCTTTGAAAGAACTTCATGAACTTTTGGTCGTTAGCAGTAAACCAGCTTCAGAATATACATCTGAAGAAGTAATATGTCAATCAGAAACTGTAGCTGAGGGCCAAACCAGTATCAAAGACCTTTCTGAAAGATGGACCCAATATGAACAGCTTACCCAGAAGGAACAATGTCCACAAGTCTCCTTTCATCAGGCCATGTCTGTATCAGTGAAGACAGAAAAATTAACAAGTACTTCATCTGTCACTGGAACAGAAGCTGTAGAAAATGGTGATGACCTATCAACTGATAAGGAGGGTGTCCCCAAATCTAGGGAATCCATAAACGAGAACAATTCTGTCACTATAACCTCAGCTAAAACATCTAATCAGTTACATGGCACCTTAGGTGTAGAAATTTCACCCAAACTTTTATCAGGTGAGGAGCATGCACTCAATCAGACTTCTGAGCAAACTAAGTCTTTGTCTTCCAATTTCATATTGGTTAAAGACTTAGGTCAGGCCATACAGAATTCAATAACAGACAGGCCTGAAACCAGAGAAAATGTCTGTCCTGAAGCTTCAAGGCCGTTTCCTGAATATGAACCACCTACCAGCCATCCGTCATCAAGTCCTTCCATTCTTCCACCGTTCATTTTTCCTGCTGCAGATATTGACCGGATTCTCCAAGCTGGCTTTACTTTACAGGAAGCTCTTGGGGCTTTGCATCGAGTTGGTGGAAATGCAGACCTTGCACTTCTTGTTTTGCTAGCAAAAAACATTGTAGTTCCTACATGACTATGGGAAAGTGGGCTAGACCGTTCTCCATTCCCTTTAAAAAAAAATGAAAGCTCTCTATATACACACACACATACACACTCACCACGTATACAGTATATGTAGAAATCTGCAAGCAGAATGTTGAGCCAGATTTTTTTTTAAAGATTTTTTTCGGCCAAAGTAATTTATGATCTCTTGTCTGATGAATTTGTCTATCCTACTTGTTAAAATTTAGGCCTTTTTTAATGTATTGGCAGTATGTGCAAACAAAAGCTTTTTATTCTCATTAAGATGTATTCTGGAATAAAATGGATAGTTTTGTGTATAGCATACTGTTTTAGAATGAGAGTGAATGCTTTGAAAAGCAGAAGCCATGAGAAATCTCACTACCCATGCAGCTAAAAACAGATGAACTCTCCACACTGTGACTGTGTCTTTGCTGATGGCAAGGTATGGCTTGCTGGCTCAGTTGTCAATTTTGAAATTTTTGACCACATAGTTTGGTGTTTGGAATTCTACCCAGTGCTCTGTGTATTATGATTTATTAGTTATAAGAGGAAATTGGAGAATAATTGAATATCATATCCTAGAGTGGTATGTTTTTCTTTGCGTGCTTAGGACTTGACATTTTAAGAGGGTGAGCAGGAGGGTTTAAATCTTGGGCTGCTTTGTGCATCACAGGCTGCTGCATAGGGATTGCCATGAAACCTTATTCCATTGGATGGGATACTGTGGGGAGTTAGAATTAGAGTGAAACATGGTGCTACCCCGATTTTTAAACAGAACAACCATAATTCCATTTGCAGATGTCAAGAACTGTGAGAGAAAAATAATGGCCTAAACACTGGAATTTGCCAGAGTTTGGGTTTGCTAGCATTTCACTGATAACACCTCAACCCTTAATGACTAATGATGACCTAAGTTCAGGAATGGGTTGATTGCCAGCGGCTTATTTCCTTTCTAGACTCATCTTCTACTAGGACAGTCTTCAGAAGCTCAATGTGAGCTGTGATCTGAGTGAAGTACTGAAGTGTGATAACCTTGTCACTGGTTAATCTTGGTGCTTGGAATGGTCAGTCTATTTGAACGGTGTCCTTTGTGGCAGTGGAAATAGCAATTACAGTTTCTGACTTAAGTGGCCTTGGGAGAGTTTTCCATCCTTTTCTTTCCTCAGGAGTTTCTTTTTCAAGCAAAATTCATCATATTTGTGTTTACCATGTCAAGTTAGAGTGGGGCATAATATATAGATGTATTTATTGTGGCCTTTTTTTATATAAGGACTAGCCCTTGGAAATCACTGTCCTGTGGGCCCCACTGTGCAATAATCCTACTGGATAGGTTTTAGATAATTCTTTCCTAGAAAATAAACTTGTTCTCTTGGGTACCTGGCAGGAATCTGAAATCTTTGTTTTATTGAAAAGAATTTTGAGATTCATAATTTCTAATTCTTGATTATAGTTTGTAACATGTTTGAAACAGAAGCTTCAAAAGAGTGATTTCTCAACATAGTGTTAAATGATTTTGTCTGAAGTCTGACTCTTTGTAAGCTTATTCATTTCATCAAATTTTAAGTCATTGAGCACAATCAAAATGGAGGCTCATATCTCAGGAGTTTTTGAAATTTTAATTTAGGGGCACTTAGAGACATTTTTTTCTACCCCATCCAACTTCTTCCTTTCCTTTTGCTATAATGTTTATATGTATAAGACTTTAGTGATGGGATGGCAAGTCACGCAGATTCACCATGATCCTTTATGTGGTTAGGAATTGGTTGACAGAAGGAGTTGTAGTTTACTGCTTTTCAGAGGGCGCTCAGAACAGCAGGTTAGCAAGGTTATCTTCAAGATGTTCTTCTAGACAGCTGCACATTGTAGACCCTTTCGCCTGCCCTACACCAAAGATGTACAATGCACTAGGAAACTGCTTACAGGATTTCTGTCAACTGACTTAAAGCTGTGATTGTAATTAAATAGTTGGTGCTATGATTGATGCAAAATCCAGTAGCAATGCAATGGGACGCTGTATTTGCTTTATGGGTGGTGGTTTGAGAATGTATTCTAAGCTTGTAACTCTTTGGAACATGGGGCGGGAAGGGTGGGGGGACTTACTGGTAACAATAGACTCCTCCCAAGGGCCTTCCATGTAAGCAGAATGAACCTTGGCACACAATTCAGTGTGGAGATTTGGGAAACAGTTCCAGGTGGAATAGATAATAGTCTGGAAAAGATTTCATTAAGATAGCTTTTTGTGTATGTGTATGTATATTTATTTTTAGGGATCTATAGTTGTACACGAATTCCTGTTAGGAATACTTTGAGCTTGAATTCCTGTTAGGAATACTTTGAGCTTAACCCACTTCCCAAATACCCTTTATCCCTTCCATCATTTTTGAGATGGGATCTTAACAGTGTTGCCCAGGCTGGACTCAAACTCTGGGGCTCAAGCAATTCTTAACCTCATCCTTCTGAGTAGCTGGGACTACATAATGCCCAGTTAATAATTGCTTTTGATTTTTAAAATATTGCCCATCATTTTTATAAAAATTAAGCTGTTTGGCCAACACAGTGAAACCTCGTCCCTATGAAAAATACAAGAAAATGAATCAGCCTTAGTGGCGCACACCTATAGTCCCAGCTGTTCGGGAGGCTGAAGCAGGAGAATTGCCTGAACCCTGGAGATGGAGGTTACAGTGAGCCAAGATCGTGCCACTGCACTCCAGCCTGGGTGGCAGAGCAAGACTGCATCTCAAAAAAAAAAAAAACTGTTGACACTATTAATATTTTTGGATGATTTAAATGTAGCAGCTCTAGAATGCAAAGAGTATTAAGGAGAATTACAATAGTGAACCTTCATTGTCAGTTTTTATTCAATTAAGAGCTCCAAAAATGCAGAAACTGTAGTAACTTCTAAGAATACAATCAAATCCTTGTGAGTTCTGGTTGCCAACAGTAATAACCAGTAATGGGCACCTTCACTGGACAGCTCCTTTACCATAACCAGTAGCGGGCAGTTTTGCGGTCAGCACTTACCTCCAAGAGTGGTCTGTTTGTTCACCAAAGAGAGAAGATTTTCCTGTGTACTTTGTGCCATTTCCCTGAAGCTGGTTCCTGAGCAGAAGGATGTGCTTGGAAACCAGACAGCAGCTTTACATAGGTTGTAGATTTTGCTCATTGATGCTGTTAAGAATTATTTCCACTCGTACTTGTTCAGGGCTCCAGACAGCCAATAGCCTTCATCCCACAGTTTGGGCTTCAACTATTAACACATAAAGATAACCAATTGTAGCCGGTTGCAGTGATTCACACCTGTAATTCCCACACTTTGGGAGGCGGGGGTGGGAATTTTCCCCACCTGAGGTGGGGAGTTTGAGATCAGCCTGACCAACATGGAGAAACCCCATCTCTACTAAAAATACAAAATTTGCCGGGCATGGTGGCGCATGCCTGTAATCCCAGCTACTGTGGGCTGAGGCAGGAGAAGTGCTTGAACCCAGGAGGTAGAGGTTGCAGTGAGCTGAGATCAGTCCATTGCACTCCAGCCTGGGCAACAAGAGTGAAACTGTCCTAAAAAAAAAAAAAAAAACAGTTGCTTGGCAAAGGAAGCTGGAGAGATGGTGAGTGCATGTGTTAAAACTCTTCTGCCTTGCAGCCCACATGTTCTAGAGCTCCCTGTCTCCGTACGTACTCATGGGAGATGCAACCCTGTGTTTTTTTCCCCAAAGCATGTCTCTAGCAAGAGGGTACATAGAAATGGAATACAAGGCTTTGTGTCACTGATTTTATGATAACCAGTTAATGTGGAATCTGCTGGTTGTCTTACTATAGTTTTCTATCTCCAGTGAAAGCCATAAAAATTTAGGTTAACTTTTAAGCTCATGTCTATATATATATGTGTAAGTTAGCATATACATATGGTGATTGACAAATATAGTTAATTTTATATAGATTTAAAAGCAAGCGATTTTTATATCTACAGACGTACTCTTCACTATGGTGGCTTTTATCCTGCCACATATATGTGTGTGTGTGTATGTATGTGTGTGTGTGTGTGTGTGTGTGTGTGTGTGTAGCAAACAGCCTTGCAAATCATCAGCCAGAAGAGCTGCAGGGCATTGCAATGGCCTTTTCCTACCTGTTTGCCACCTGTGGTGAGGGTGAGCAGAATGATTGAACTGCTGCATGTTTCAAACCTGTTGTCACTGGTAGTGTGTCCCAAGAAAAGATGACCAGATAGATTATGCATTCGACTCTTCTCTAGCACAAATACTCACCAAAAAGCCAAACTTCTCTTTCAAATTTGGTGACTTGGTGTAGTCTGTGGCTGACCTAAAAAGACACAGAATTATCAAGAGTTTTCCTTCTTAGAAGAGGAATGTTACCTTTAGTGTTAGGAGGTACAGAAATTAAAAAGATTTTTCTAGAATTGCTAATTCGTCTTGACCACAAAGTAAATTCAAAGCCTGTCCTTGAGACCTGGAAATGTAAAATCATGGTTCAAGTTTTATACCTTAGTGATCCCTCAGTAGGTGTTACTAGAAGTTCATTGAATGAACTAAAGAACTTAGGAAGTGAACCTTCGGTGTGCTTGATTTTCTTTTGTGCCTTAGTTTCTCTGAATAGCAGAGGCATCACATTTTGGTGGGAAATAAAAGGAGTATTGGGGAAAGTTTGAAATTAGCTCTCCTGGAGATGGGGGGCACACAGTGATCCTCAGGCTTACCTTGACTGAGGTGATTCAGAATTACCCGGCATCAAGTCATTAGACTTCTTTAGTGTAAGGATTGTAATAGGGATTTTTGCATCACCAAAAGCAATTTTTAGATGTTTATGTTCTTTGTTGTACTATCAGTGTTGTGCTGGTTAAGGGAGAGAAGGGTTGAAGGAAATCTTAATATTTGAAAGGAAATCGGCACTCTTGAAGGCAATGCACCGTGAGTCTTGAACAAGAATTCCTTGCTACTTGGATTCGTTCATCAAATATTGAGTGCCTGTGTGCCAGGTACCGGTGAACTCTGGGGATTCAGCAGTAACTAAAGCAGATTGGAACCCTGCCCTTGTGAAGCTTTCAATCTAGAAGGGAGACATGAAACAAATTTTAGCTTCAAAAGCAACATCTGTTTTTGCCTGTTAGCATGCATTTATTTTAAAAGTCATAGTAGAGTTACTTGGTTCCACTTCAGAGCAGACTGGGAAAATCAGGCATACAATGGAATCAGATGCTGTGGGCCTAAAACAGCTCTTTAAAAACCTTTTTTTAGGCAGAGCGTGGTGGCTCACGCCTGTAATCCCATCACTTTGGGAGGCCAAGGCAAGTGGATCATGAGGTCAGGAGTTCAAGACCAGCGTGGCCAATATGGTGAAACCCCGTCTCTACTAAAAACACAACAATTAGCCAGACTTGATGGCATGCGCCTGTATTCCCAGCTATTCACGAGGCTGAGGCAGAAGCATCACTTGAACCTGGGAAGTGGAGGTTGCAGTCAGCCAAGGTCACACCACTGCACTCCGGCATGGGTGACAGCATGAGACTCAAAAAAAAAAAAAAAATATATATATATATATATATTTTAATGGAATCAGAGAAACCAACAAAAAATGTAAGCTGTATAAATGCCTAAGGAGGTCAGTTACTAAGATCCATTTATAATGCTGGAGGAGAGGGGGGATGGGCAGGAAAGAAATGCAACAAATAAATGGAAGATAATCCCAAAAATGCACCAGTGGCAGTCAGTCCCTCCATCACACCTCCTCACATGCAGGGCAGAAACACGGAGTGTGCTGCAGCAGCCGCCTCGCCTCCCTTTGTGAGCACGGCTGCTCCGGAATACTGACCATCTGGGCAAGTGGGACATAGCAGAGGGTTCTGCAGGATGTGCTATTTTAAAGCAGCTGGGTGCAACTTCTCAAAACGGGAATCTAGAGCAGAAAATGTAACGAGCGACGGCTGGGATTGGTGGACAGGATTGACGGGAGCATTTGAGGCTCTACCAAGCCTGTCTACAGGACAGCTTCATCAAAGGTACATTTTTTAACCCGTTATTTTAGATGCCACATATATGTTGTAATCCTAAAGCATGCAGGTAGAATTTCTGGATCATGGCTACTAGTGACTTGAGGTTTACAGTTAGAAAATGTTCTCAAAGGTTTATCAGTTATATACTGATGATTGGCCATCTAGACCCTCTGGAGGCTGTAGAACGTGAAAGGATACAGCTGACAAGTTTTAGGGCACCATCTTATGGAATGAAATCTGCAAAGAAAATGGTTCAAGGGCATGGGGGTTAGAGAATGTTTCTTTTACCTAAAAACATTAAGCCAACTATGGAAGATTGGGGTCATGGGGGCATGAAATACAAAATTACGATAATTTATGCAGAACTAGGTTTCTTTAAATATGTTCGGTAAGAAGGTTTTCATTAGCTAATTTGGGGAGGGGGCATGGTGCAGTATTTTTTTTCCTAGGAACATGCATTTCTGATGGGAAATTCTCTTGTTTACAAGCATTGGTTTTACACACAACACTGAATGAATGTGTCTGTGGCCTAAAAGTGGTAGACCTGTATTTTGCGCCAGAGGCAGTCAGATTTGTTTGTTTCCTGATTCCTACTGTCTGAGATTACCTGATGCTGACCAGACTTCTTTTTCCTTTCCTGAATCTTCACAGCTTTCTGAGTTTATACCTTCCAGGACCTTCCCATTTGAATTACTAGATTTCCATTCTATCCCCTGATCATCTTTTTTAAATAGTTCTAGTGTTAAACTCAGAGCAGTTGAATATATTGATTGAATTTTATTTTTTCGCTTTGTACCTACAACAAAAATTGATTTGTTCATTTTTATTCCAAATCTCATCTTCATGGCAAGTTGGGCTAATGGACTTTGCACTCAAGAAAGGTTTGTTTACCAGTTTTGTAGCCATATTTGGCAAATCTTAGCAAATAGAAACCCTGTCTTTTCCCTCTTTATATGTTCTTGCAGTTGCTCTTGTATTGCAAGATTTTCTGACTTCTTTAAGCTTTGAGACTACTGCATCTTCAAAGAAGAACTAGGCTGACTGGCACAAAGTCTTGCTGGTGCCCTGTCACTCCCATGATGCTTTGGTTTTGAGAGTTGGGAAAACTCTGAGAACTTAAGGGAACCAAACTCAGGAATCCCAAAATTGGTGGCATTATGCCACTCGTTTAGGGGCTGAACATAGGACCCGTCTGAAACTGAGTGAACTAGATGCATTTGGGTTTGAATTTTTGTCACATACTGAAATGTAAGTCAGCCCTAAATAATTGAAACACTTTATTTTATTTTTTTTTAAATAGGAACTTTCTGAAGAAAAAGTGGTGTGTAAAATTTGATATTTAAGACAATAAAGTTTTTATCATAAGACTTCTGTTTGATCAATTTCTTTTAAATTGAGGTGGTTACTTTTGTCTTTGTCTCTATCTCCCTGCCCCTTTAAATAACTTATACCCAGACATTGTAACTTAAAGCATGTACCTGAACCCAGAAGAAGTGGGCATCTCAGAGCCGTTAACATCCAGATGACTACTGCAGGAAAACAGCTCTGTGGATGTAAAAGGTGTGCATTTTGCGTCAGGCATGATGGCTCACACCTGTAATCCCAGCACTTTGGGAGGCCAAGATGAGCAGATCACTTCAATACCAGCCTGGCCACCAAGACGAAAACCCATCTCTACTAAAAATAAAAAAGCTGGGCGTGGTGGCACACACCTGTGGTCCCCACTACTCAGGAGGCTGAGGTGAGAGGACTGCTTGAGCCCAACAAGCGGAGGTTGCAGTGAGCTGAGATCATGCCGCTGCACTCCAGCCTGGGCAACAGCGAGAGCCTGTCTCAATTAAAATAATAGCAATAGAGTATGGTGGCTAAGACTAGACACTAGAGCTAGGCTGCTTGGGTTTGAGCTTTGCCACTTACTAGCTTATGACTGGGTAAGTCACCTAACCTTTCTGTGCTTGAATTTCCTCACCCGTAAAATGGGGACCATCAGAGAGATTATGGGGCTTGGCCGGGCACCGTGGCTCACGCCTGTAATCCTAGCACTTTGGGAGGCTGAGGCGGGCAGATCACCTGAGGGACAGGAGTTCAAGACTAGCCTGGCCAACATGGTGAAACCCTGTCTCTTAAAAAAAAAAAAGAGAGAGGTTATGGGGCTTAAATGAGTTAATACATATAAAATGCTTAGAAGAATATCTGGCACAAAGTAAATGCTCATGAGATGTGAACTAGTATTCATTATATCACTTAAGGGATTTGAGGATGTTAAATGGCATTTCCGGAAGTCAGGTGCTTCATCTAACAGACCGATGTTGGGGAAGGGCTTTGCCCTATGCAATCAGCCAGTCAAGATTCTAGGCTACCAGGTTTCTGCCATTTTCAACATGGGGGTTCCAAGATTGCCTTGGACATCAGCATCCAACTGGTATACCAGGGGAAGGGGTTTTATGTACCAGGCCTGGAAGTGGTGTACATAACTTCTCTGTCCACATCACTGGCTGGAACTCAGTCACAGGACCATACCAGACTGCAAGGGGAGCTATGAAATGTATGTTGAGGCAGATGGGTACAGTTAGGTGGCTGGCTAGCAGTCCTCCAATGTCGCCTTACACCGAGACCACACATACCTTTTCGCTAAAGGAGATGGCCCCAAATCCCATCCAGGCATTCCACTGATCTCAAAGTCCAGAGTCTCCTGATGTCCTGTATTTTTTCGGGTCTTGATTATGGCCCCTTAAGGTCTGCCAAACTCTGAACTTGGAGTTAAGTTACCTGTTTCTACCCCATACACCGTGATAGAGCTGGCATAGAATAACTGTAGTAGCAAATCTCAGCTGGAAAAGGAAGTGGGAAATGAAGCCATCATTGGCCCCAACAATTAGAAATCATGCTGAACAGACTTTGCGAAGGAGTTTATTTAAAATTCTGATTACCTAGTTTGAAAGGAACTCCCTTGTCCCTTGTCCATTGTCCATAGCCCCATTGAGTCTGCTCTTGGGAGTTGGCATGGCCTTCCTAGCTAGCTTAATGTTCTGTGCAAGTCTGGGGACCTGAGGGTTGTCTAAAGACTTGGAAAAGAGTCAGTGGCTTTTAAAACCTGAATGTGTGGTTACTTTGGGAAAACAATTTACTTGGTAGACTTCTGATGACTCACTTGCAGGCATTTCTGCATTCCAGTAACCACACTAGCAGTTCTTGCCTCTACACAGGTCTCAAGCCTGATTCATTTTGCTTCTCATTTCTGGTCTGTTCTCAGTGACACCTGCCTTGACTTCATCTGAGGTATATTTGAGTGGAAAAACCCTAATTTCTGCTGCAGGGCTGAGTCTTACTGGGCCTTTGGTATTCAAAACCTGTTTCAAACTTAGCTTTTATCTGGAGTCTAGAAGAAGGAAATTGGTTTCTTTATTTATTTTCTTTGTAAGGCGGGGTTTCACCATGTTGGACAGGCTGGTTTCGAACTCCTGACCTCAAGTGATCCACCCGCCTCGGCCTCCCAAAATGCTGGGATTACAGGCGTGAGCCACCGTGCCCAGCGGAAATTGGTTTCTTACAACCCTCAAGGCCCCAGGTGTTTCGGCTCACTCTTTTCATTTCTGCTTATAACCAGCCAATTCTTTGCTACGCTTAGGGTTTTTTTGTTTAGTTCTGCTTTTTTTTAGTAGAGACGGGGGTTTCACTGTATTAGCCAGGCTGGTCTCGAACTCCCGACCTAAAGTGATCCACCCACCTCGGCTTCCCAAAGTGCTGGGATTACAGGCCTGAGCCACTGCATCCAGCCAGGTCTTTCTTGTAATGCTTTTAACAGCACACTGACATGAGTTTTCAACTCAATCTTAGGCTAGAGATTCAGGCTATGTAGTTAATATAGCCAACCATCCAAGTGCCACGGGAGACAGTTTTTCCGGATGCTTTGCCCTCCAGGTAACATAGATCTCCACTTTTCCAGCCTCCCAGATCAGTTTCCTTCTTGACCACCAAACCAGTGTTATAATAGATTTTTGTGATAAGTGTCCCATTTCAGTACCAATGTCTGTAACTGGTTAAGGTTGTCTAACTACAGCAACAAACCCACCCCAGATGTCCATAGCTCAACACCATGAAACTCTCCTTCACTAACAGTCCAGTGCAGGTTCAAGTCAGTCAGGTGGGAATGGGGTAGGAGGGCTCTTCTCCAAGCTCATTCAGGAACCGGGCTTCCAGGAGCTCTGCCATGTACATGCCACTCCTGGGGTTGCCCTGGCCTTCATCATTCCATTGGAACAGGTTGGAAGTGAAGAGAGTCGAGCTTGAAGGGTTTTTATGGGCCAGACCTGCAAATGGTATATATCACTTCTCACACAAAATCAGCAAGAAGTCTCCTGACCACACCTAGTTGAAGGAGAAGCAGAGAATTGTAGACTGACCGATGTCCGATAAGAGGAGATCAGCCGGCTCCGTTTTTACCTTGGAGAGAAAGAATATCAACTTTCTAATGTTGAGTCAGGTTGTAGAGTCTTCTCAACTCCCAGTTATATACTCACAGATTGAGACCCATAATTCTAAACTGTTTTGAGTTGATTTCCTTATCACGGAGTTTCAAGACAACTTTCCTATTTTAAAGCTTTCTAAATGATGTGTCTGTGCTTAAAGTGATTAAAAATTAACTATTTTCAGACTCTTAGAGACACCCTGCAGTATTAAATAACCAGTGTAGGTCATTACTTTGTGTATATGTTTCTGCCATGGGGCCTTTATTTGAGAGGATTTCTATGTGCACAGACAAGGTGGTTTAAACGGGGTAGCTTCGACAAATCTCCCCTTATTCTGCTACCCTTCTCACCTGTCTAAAAAGAATTATGAGAGCAAACGCTATTGCTAGTTGGAAGTAAGAATTATTCTGTCGTTCAGATCTCAATCTTTGGAGATTTAGTTCCATTTGAAGTGAGATTTCTAGTACTTGATAGAGCTCTTATTTATAGTCCGATTATAGTAGGGATTGTGAGACATTCGTTATTAGTGGAAACAGTGGTCTTTGACACAGAAAGGGGAATTCACGGCATCTTTATTTTTAAAAATACTCAAAATATCAAGGGAGTAAATGTATTGGGGGTTTTATGGCAGAAATCTGTATCTACAGCTTGGGGAGGAAAAATCTAAGAAAAGGGAGGGGGCGTCAGGTACAGTTGCTCATGCCTGTAATCCTAGTACTATGGGAGGCTGAGGCTGGAGGATTGGATCACCTGAGCCCAGGAGTTCAAGGCTGCAGTGAGCTATGATGGTGCCACTGCACTGCAGCCTGGGTGACAGAGAGATACCCTCTCTCACAAATAAAAGAAAAAAGGTCAGGTGTGGTGACCCATGCCTGTAATCCCAGCACTTTGGGAGGCCAAGGCGGATGGATCACCTGAGGTCAGGAGTTCGAAACCAGCCTGGCCAACATGGCAAAACCTCATTGCTACTAAAAATACAAAAATCGGCCAGGTGCGGTGGCTCATGCTTGTAATCCCAGCACTTTGAGAGGCCAAGGTGGGTGGGTCATGAGGTCAGTAGTTTGAGACCAGCCTGGCCAACATGGTGAAACCCCGTCTCTACTGAAAATACAAAAATTAGCTGGGTGGGATGGCATGTGGCTGTAATCTCAGCTATGAGGGAGGCTGAGGCAAGAGAATTGCTTAAACCTGGGAGGCAGACATTGCAGTGAGCAGAGATCGTGTCACTGCACTCCAGCCTGGGTGGCAGAGCAAGATTCTATCTCAGAAAATAAATAAATAAATACAAAAATAAAAAATTAGCCAGGCGAGGTGGCAGGTGCCTGTAGTCCCAGCTGCTCAGGAGGCTGAGACAGGAGAATCACTTGAACCCAGGGGGCAGAGTTTGCAGTGAGCCAAGAATATGCTACTGCACTCCAGCCTGGGTGACCCAGCGAGATTCATCAAAAAAAAAAAAAAAAAAAAAAATAGTATATACAAGAGGACTTCAAAAAGTTCATGGAAAATGAAATTAAAAGATAAAAAAATAGTCGGGCGTGGTGGCTCATGTCTATAATCCCAGCACTTTGGGAGGCCGAGGAGGGTGGATCACCTGAGATCAGGAGTTCAAGACCAGCTTGGCCAACATGGTGAAACCCCATCTCCACTAAAAATACAAAAAATTAGCCAGGCATGGTGGCACATGCCTGTAATACCAGCTACTCAGGAGACTGAGGCAGGAGAATTGCTTGAACCTGGGAGGTAGAGGCTGTGATGAGCAGAGATCACGACACTGTACTCCAGCCTGGGCAACAACAGTGAAACTCCTTCTCAAAAAAAAAAAAAAAAAAAAGATAAAATATCTAAACATATATGTTTTAAAAATTTTTGTTTTTTATAATATTTTGTAGAGATGGGGT